AGAAAAGAAGAGGGGACAATGGGCATCCCTGTCGTGTCGACCTACAGAGGTTTATACATCTTGACAATTGATTGTTTGTGGCAACTTTAGCCACTGGCTCAGTGTACAGTAACTGAATCCATTTTAAATATTTTCCTCCTAGGCCGAATCTCTTAAGCATATGAAAGAGGTAACTCCATTCAATCCTGTCAAAAGCTTTTTCAGCATCTAATGACAAAAAGGCATGGTCCATAGCAAACTGTTTTTCATACAATATATTAAGTAATCGGCGGGTATTATGAAAGGCTTGGCGTCCAATTAAAAATCCATTTTGGTCATTTGAGATTAAATTGGGGATGTGTGTTTCAATCCTTCGAGCCAAAGCTTTGCACAAGATTTTTGTGTCACAGGACATTAAAGAAATGGGTCTATATGAGTCCATTTCTGTTGGGGGTTTACCTGGCTTCAACAAAAGAGAAATAGTTGCCAATCGTAAGGATGGGGGTAGGGTGCCTTTTTCATAAGATTCATTGAACGATTCGAGTAGAGAGGGCAGTAATTTATCTGGGAATTTCTTGTAAAGTTCAATTGGTAGGCCATCGGGGCCGGGAGCTTTACCAGAATTCATGTGGCTTAGAGCCACTTTGAGTTCTTCAACACTTAATTTTTCATCCAAATCTTTCCTACTCTCTTCTGACAGGGTTGGAAATTGAAGTTGGTCTAGAAAATGCTTTTGTTTATTTGTATTATCTGGATATTGTGATGTATATAAATTTTCATAATATTTTGCAAATGCCTCATTTATACTTACTGGATCCACCAGATTCTCACCATTATTTAATTTGATTAAATTTATGGCCCGATTTGTCTAACTTTTTGAGCCTCCAAGCTAGGAGTTTTCCTGCCTTCTCACCCTGATCGTAATATGATTGTTTTAACCACAATAGATTTGTCGCTGTTTTGCTGGTAGTGAGCTCGTTATATTCTGATTTTAATAAAAGAAGTCTCCTATATTTGTCAGTATCATTGCAATAATACATCTGTTCCTGCAAGTCTTTGATTCGCTTTTCAATGTTTTTTAGTTTATTTAGATGCATTCTTGATTTATGCCTAGTATAGCTCATTATTTCCCCCCTTATATAAGCTTTAAATGCTTCCCATTTTATTGATGCACTGGTTTGGTTTGTATTAAAATTAAAATACTCAGTTATTTTCCCTTCAAGAAATTCCTCAAACCCTTCAGACCTAAACCATTTAGCTTGAAATTGAAATGGGATTGAAGACCGACAATAATTTGGTAATTTTATTGATAGAATAACTGGAGCGTGGTCAGAGAGTAGAATAGCTTCATACCAACATTTTTGAACAGTAGATAATAGACCAGAAGAGACTAGAAAAAAGTCTATTCGCGAGTAAGTTTTAAAGGTGCTTGAAAAGCAAGAGTACTCTGTTTTATTTGGAAAAAGTTGTCTCCAAACCTCCACTAAATTCAGATCTTTCATATATTTCTTGATAGTTTTCCTAGCTTGTTGGTGGGACAAGACAGAAGTGTTTGAACGGTCTACTGCAGAATTTAAAACACAATTGAAATCTCCACCAATTATAAATGGACCGTTATAAGCTGCCATGGTTAAAAACAAATTTTGGTAAAAAGCAGGATCATCACCATTAGGGGCATATAGACACACAAAGTTGACCATTGTAGAGACTATAGTTCCACTAAGAATGATAAATCTCCCTGATGGGTCGAAGTATTTATTTTTTAGTTCAAATGGAATTGATTTGTGAATCAGTATTATGACTCCCCTGGCATGAGTTGTAAAACTAGAGGAGAATACCTGGCCAGGCCACCTAGCTCTAATTTTATTCACATCTTTTCCCGTCAAATGTGTCTCTTGCAAAAAGCATATTGTAGTTTTCATCTGTTTGATTCTGCCCATCACTTGTTTAAGCTTGACAATTTTGTTCAGACCTCTGACATTCCAACTAGATATATTAATTACAGGACAAACAGACATAAGTTGTGTAATTGGAGATGTAAACAGATGAAGTACATTGGTCCCTTCCTATTCTCTCATTCAAGTAGTGTAAAGTCCACAAAAAAACAGTGTCCAGAGAGAGCCCTATAACCCAAATCTCCACATATTTCCCCAAATGAAATGTGGCGGTAACCCCTTCTGAATATTGAACTTGGGTTATATGAAATGTTGCAGCCACCAAGTGGGTAACGTAAAAAACTGCACGCATAACGATGGTCATGTATAAGTTGGCTGGCATAAACAAAAAGTGCTCTGACCAAAATAACAGTAATTAAGGCAAGATTTGCTAACATTGCAAAGGAGTAATAGAAAAATATTAACAGTGTTCATGCTTCCCTTTTTTAAGACAAAACGTTATTTTTAGGAACCATGTCAGAAAAAGAGTAGCGAATACATACTAAGTCTTGGAATTGTCCTCAGCCTGCGAGCCTATTCCGTCAATATACTTTTCGGCTTCTTCCACGGATTTGAAGATCCGGCGTTTGTCATTATGTGTGATGATCAAGTGGGCTGGGTACAGAATGCCATACCGAATTTTAAGGGAACGAAGCCGGATCTTCACTCCATCAAAGCGCGTTTGCAGCTTGCGAGTCTCGGCCGAGAGATCAGGGAAGAAGGTGACGCGGTGGTTCTCATAGCGCACCTCCTTCATTTTCCTGACGGCTTTCAGAGTTGCTTCCCGGTCCCGGTAGCTCAGAAACTTAATTAAAATAACCCTTGGAGCCACAGGACTGGAGGTAAGGGGCCCGATCCTATTGGCTCTCTCCACGCAGCGGGACAAAGTGAAGTCCTCACCTAGCGTCTCTCGGAGCCACTTCTCCAAGAAGCCACACAGGTCCGATGCCTCGGATTTTTCGGGGAGCCCGACCAACCTCAGGTTACAGCGTCTGCTCCTGTCCTCTTGCTCCGCCACTTTGTCACAAAGCACCTCCACTGTCTTCTCCAATGATTTAACTCTGTTTTGAAGGGAAGCAACATCGTCCTCTGCTTGCGAGACCCGCGCCTCTGCTTCCCCAATTCTTTCAGTGAGCGATTGTATATCCCCTTTAATATCCTTAATTGCTTTCAGCATATCAGCAGAATGCTTATTCATATCCTCCTTCAACAAACTAATTGCTCCGAGAATATCACGGTTGGTTGGCGCATCCTGAGCCTCATCCAGGTGAAGCGGCGCTGCCACGTTAGCATTTGCCATAATAGCCGCATGTGCTACGTTAGCCGCACTCACTTGTGGAGCCGTTTTAGTCGGTTGTTGGACCGGCTTGGCATTTTTCGGTGGCATAATCCCCAGCAAGCGTTTACCCGTTAGCAAAACAGGCGAAATTGTCAATATTGGTCTATCTTACGGATTAGTTTAAAGGATTCAGTAGCGAGCCATCCGCACATGCACCGTTCACTGAGACGCCATAACCGGAAGTCCCCCTGTTGGTATAATTACTCGAACTGCGCATGCCCGAAGGGAACATTCAGTGCTTTCAGCACCGCCCTCTGGCGGTCAGTAGGGATGAAATAGAACTACTTTATTCCCACTGATCACAGCAAATATAGCTGCAAGATTTAGATTATTTAGATGAAAAAACACCTGCCAGCCGCCGCGGTGAAGAGGAGGAGACCCGGCCCAGAGGCTGCTGTTGAATTAAGTTTTCAGGTAGAAAAATAGAGCGGGAGCAAAACTGAGTATGATTGTGCTTTATTCATGTATTTATTACAAAGTATTAATCAAACCCATCAAAGTCATCATCCTCTGTTTCTGAATTAAACAGCTGCGCTAAATCAGACATGCCAATTTCCCTTCTTCGCTGTCAGAGTCACTTTCCGTGCAGCGCAGCTCCTCAGAAATAATGCCGGCTTTTGCGAAAGCTTGAACAACAGAGCCAGCAGACACTAGTCCAAGCATCAACAATCCATCCCCAAACGGTGGCGTAACTTGCCCGGCGGTGCCTTCCACTTATCCTGAAACTGTGGTCTCCGTCTGTCATCCATCGCTCCCACGCCGCTCGCAGCCTTACTTTGAACGGCCGGTTCACACCGATGTCGAGCGGTGGAAGTTCCTTTGTCAGACCCCCCGGGATAACGGCGAGCACAGCGTTCATTTGATTCACCTTTTTTTTCACATCAGCTGTGAGATGGGCACGCATGGAGTCACAGATTAACAGCGATGGTGATGAGTGGAAAAAAACCACCTGGTCTCCTTACATACACCTCCCTCAGCCACGCTTTCATCATCTCCTCATCCATCCAGCCTTTTTCATTTGCCTTAATATCATGTGTCATCAGAGCGATGTCTGTCTCGCTGTCAGCTCCCAGATCAGCTTCTCTGATTGGTTGATGCAGCGCGTCTAGCAGCAAAAACAATTTTTCCATCTCGAGCAGCAGCAGCGCGTTGGCGGCGCGTCAGATGCTTAAACGCTCCCGACGCGCTGCGCCTGCTGCTCAAAACGCGCTGCGGGACCTTTTGCTGCGTCTAACGCGTCAACCGTTGACTTTGCATGTAAACTCGCTGCTTCTGCTGCTCCTGCTGCGTCCGGTTTACACCGATGTCGAGCGGTTGAACAGCGAGCACAGCGTTAATTTGTTTCACCATGTTTTTCACATCGGCTGTGAGGCATGGAGTCACAGACTAACAGCGATGGTGATGAGTGGAAAAAAAAAACACCTGGTCTCCTTACATACACCTGCCTCAGCCACGCTTTCATCATCATTGAGGAGTTTCTCCTCAATGAGGTGGTCTCAAAAGTCGCAGTTACAACACACATAGGGCGCACCGCACATTTTGAGCAAAAAAAAAGATGTTTATGTGCACCTTATAGTCGTGAAAATACGGTATGTAAAGTGTTTGAGGTTCTATACCGCTGACTAAATAAGAACAGTAGCTCTTTACTACTTAACGTCCAGATATTCTCTGTAGGTACTTTAACTTTAATGTTGATGTTTCGTTATTCTTTGCTGATTCAGATTGTCTTTCTTGTGAATATCTTGCAGTTCATCAGACTCCGATGTGCAGTACAGGCTGGTTTCACGATTCGTCAACGAGGCGGTGCTGTGTCTGCAAGAGGGCGTCCTGAACAACCCGTTGGAAGGAGACATCGGGGCCGTGTTTGGGCTGGGATTCCCCCCCTACCTCGGAGGTCAGATAACCTGCATTGTCGGTGAAAGCCGTGATAAAATTCGTCCCTTCTCACCACTTTTTAACATGCCTCTTTGTTTATTACCTCCAGGACCTTTCCGCTTCGTAGACAACTTCGGCGCCGACAAACTTGTGGAGAAGATGAGGAAATTTGAAGCTGTATACGGGAACCAGTTCACTCCATGCCAACTCCTACTGGATCACGCTAAAGATTCCAGCAAGAAATTTCACAAGTGACCAACTCGCCGGTGCTGCCAGTAGCTCCTAATAAACTCAAGTTTGTCACTAAACATGTGCCTAACATCGATTAATGGGGAGGGTCAACATGCTGACTGTACACGTTGACCGTTTATCAGGTACAAATAACCTCAAGTGGAGCTGTATGATGGGTAATTAGTGCTGATTTATTTTTTTTTCTTAAAAGGGGGGAAAATTAAAGTTAATGATCATTTCTGGAGTTTTTATTGCAGTACCTGACCTGTGCTCACTGGTTTTTAACAATGAGGAGCAGCTTCTATAGCTTTGAAAATTATCATGAGCTTGATTCAGCACTAGACTGTATGGACAGAGGTGAAATAATACAAACCGTTTTATTTCAGGTGTTGTACCTAATAAACTGGCAAGTGTGTGCAGGTGGAAAGCTGTTTTAATTTTTTTTACATGAATGTTCACTTGATGTATAGATAAAAGGGTGTATTGACATGAGTTATTTACACATTGCATCTGTAAAGACATTTTTTCTGCTGCCAAATAACTTTTAACACAATGAATGTTAAGATACATCATGGTTCAGCAAGTGTCTTGATTTATTTGTACATTAAGGGTTTGCCTTGCTTGGTATGGAGAAAAATGTAAATGTGAAACTTCAATAAAAAGGTTGATTAATTTTTGCTTTTCTATGGAAGATTTCTAACTAAAATGTGATTTTGCAAACCTAAACATGGTTGCTTTGGGTACAGAAGTAAAAGTCTTTCTTTGATCTAGGGATGAATAAAAGGCTACTTGCAAAACAGATCTTTAATTACAGTCACGTTTTATAATTTGAACATTACAAGCTGGGATGTTTTACATATTAAAACCAACAATTCCAGGTATTTTACAAATTAGTATGACCTGAGAATGGCCATTAATGATGCAGAGATCTTTACAGGGGGCTTCAGGAACTTAAATTGAAATATTTTAAAACTAAACATGGGAAATATTTTAGTAATTCAGTTGGAATGGACTATACTTACAAATATTGTGTCCAAATGTTAAGATGTATGTAATTTATAACATAAATTCTCATGCATTCGGTTTTAAAATAATTTTAGCACACACCTATTGGTTTGGTGGTGCAGTGGTTAGGGCACACGACCCATGTATGGAGGCTTACTCCTTGATGCAGGCGACCTGGGTTCAAATCAGGCCTGTGGTCCTTTCCAAAAAAGAAGTTTGTTTGGGTCTTAACATTCAGGTTGGTCGACCTGCTGCAAGGTCTACGCCACAAGTATTTTATAGCCTTATATGGTAAGGCAAGTTTATTCTATAGCAGATTTTAGTGGCAAGGTAGTTCAAAAAGCCGCAGGGTTGCAACAAATTAAATCAAGAAAAACATTTGCTTCATGTTTGCAATAATGAGCTAATGTTGGTTTTTCACATACAATCCAAATAAAACAAACTGAAGTATCTGGTTGGAATTTTAGAAAATGGTGAGAAATGTTTAGGCTACTCTAGCAAAGAACTGTTAGGACTAGAATATGAGAAGAAAATGATTGCTTACATCTGCCACCATGTCAATCAGACTCTTGTCGCAGTTGCCCCTTTCCTGTCAGCATACTGTTCATAAAAAAAAACTACTAAATCTTATATGATGCATATTTTTATAAGGCAACTTATTTAAAATGTTCAGGTTTGTGTATTTAGTCTTAAAGTGTACTCAAACTTAATACTAATTTATTTCAATTACATAACGTTTATTGTTTAATGGCATAACCTTTATATCAAACAATAAACCTTATGTAATGCATGACCATCATATAAGGTTTATTTAGTAGGTTTGTGTTAAAAAAAAAAAAGTAAATGGGTATTTGTAATTTAATAAAATCTTAAAACTTGGGTAACATATTTGATAGTGTATACACACTTGCATAAAAGTGTTTATTTTTGTAAATTTTAACTGTCACTTTAATTTAAAAGTCTATTAAAATTTTACATAAGTCTGAAAAAAATAAAGCATCAAACCAGCAGACTCTTAGCAATAAGCATGCATGCATGGTGGTTATTAGTGGTTATCAGTCCCATAGAATGCCTTCAGATTGTGCCAATAGGCTCAGTAGGCTGTTATCACCAAGTGAATCCTAATCCTAACCCTACAGTAATTCCTTTTCCCCCGCGGAATTAATTAATCTAAGTGTAATCTGAAAATTATTTCAGTAGTTCTTCATGTACTGTAAAAAAAAAAATTAATAAATATGAAATGATCCGCATCTCGCTCAAATTAAACAAACTAAAAACAAATAAATCTCATATCCTGTCAACTGAGTTGTAGAATCCTCTCCCTATAAATATTTAGTTATGGTGAACCCAGTGAAGGACTTTTTTTGTTGTTTTATGTACAACGCTAGGTGACAAAATCGGGAAATAAAACAGCATGATTAGAGACAGAGGTACCATCCTGTAACTTTGATGTATCTCTTCTCCTTTCTTTCTTCTTTCTTTCTTTCTTCTTGTTTAATGGCGGTTGACAAGCAACTTATTGGTGTGCATTACCGCCACCTACTGGTAAGGAGTGTGGATCAGGACGCAACTTAAAAAAAAAAAAAAAAAACTAAATCCTTTCTATCAGTTTAGTTTTCTTAAGAAATCTTAATAAATGACGTAAATATTCAGAAGAGGAGCAAAATCCCAACATATCTGATATTTTTAATTGTAACTTATTCTTTAGAAGTCGATATTCTAATTTCCTTCTCTCCTCAGAGTACTTTGGACAAAACAACAAAACATGTTCTACTGTCTCTTCTTGAAAACAAAATTCACAATTTCCTGATGGATGTCTTCCCATTATAAATAATGTACCGTTTAAGCCTGTATGACCAAAACGTAACCTGGATATGATATTATCTTCTTTTCTACTTCTTCCTGTTCCCCTCATTACCCCAACTTTCCTTTGAATGCTATAAAGCAATCTACCAGTTCTTTCCTCCTCCCACTGCTTCTGCCATCTTTCCCTAACCTTTTGTTTTATAATAGATTTTATCCCCTCTTTACTAAATGGAATCAGTATCTCAATGTAACTGTTTTTTGAAGCTTGTTTTGCATATCTGTCTGCCAATTCATTTCCTATTACTCCTATATGAGATGGAACCCATGTAAAAATGACAATTAATCCCATGGTCTGAATTCTATAAAGTATTAACTGAATCTCCAATAGAAGGTCTGGTCTACTATTGGAATAATTATTTTTAATTGAATATAATGATGAGCTTGAATCAGAGCAAATTAAACTTCTTAAAGGACGAACATCTTCAATCCAACTCAAAGCCAAAATATTCCCATCATTTCCCCTGTAAACACTGATACGTCATCAGAAATCCTCTTACATTTTTTAATATTAAATTCTGGGACGATAAATGACACCCCATTGTTGCTACTTAGGCTTTTAGATGCATCTGTATACACTTGAACATAACAAAAATATTTATTTTCTATATATGATTGGACTGAGCAAGATTCTGAAAAATTTCCTTTTTCCCTCTTCTTCAACAATGATAAGTCCACAATGATTTCATTAAATAGAGACGGATGAACCAGGGACAGAGGAACTGTTTCACTCATTTTTATGGATGATAACTGAAAATTTTTAACATCACTTTCTATCTCCCAACCAAAGGATTTTAAAGTCTTTTTCCCTTTTTCCCAACTAGGTTTTAAAATTTCTTGACATGGATGGTTTTTATAATGACCCTTTAAATAACTCCAGTCAGATAATCTTAACTGTAATCTTCTAAGGTAAAGTGGTATTTCCCCCATTTCAACTACCAAAGCTGAGATCGGAGTTGTTCTGATGGCTCCTGTACACAACCTCAAGGCTTGAAACTGAATAATATCTAATTTTTTAAGAAGTGTTTCTGATGCTGATCCAAATGCCAGACTGCCATAATCTAATACAGATCTTATTAAACCCGTATATATTGATTTTAACGCTTTCCTCTCAGCGCCCCACTCTCTCCCCACCAAACACCTCATAACATTTAAAACTCTCTTACACTTGTCCACTACTTTTTGAATATGACTACTCTAGGTCAGTTTTTCATCCATCCACAAACCCAGAAACTTAAACTCCTTTACTCTTTCTAAATCATGTTTATACAAATACAATTTTAAATCACTAGATACTTTCTTCCTAGTGAAAAATAAAGTCTTTGTCTTATCTATTGAAATTTTAAAACCCCAATTATATGACCACTCTTCTATACTATGAATTGCTTCTTGTCATTTTTCTGCACCTTTCACTATAATTTTTATTTTTTCTGTTTTCTGTTTTACTTGATCAGTACAGTTGATTACATATGCCATGAATAATATTAATTTATCCATTGTGATCTCCATTCCAGATTTTGAAGTTTGGCTGGGGTCAGCACTTGTGCTAGACATTACTTGTTGACTTTTCTGAACCATTCTTTTCTCTTGAACACTTTTTGCTGCCTCTGCATAAGTGATGTTTTTAATTGTTCTCAGCTGTTGAATTTCTGCTGCCCTTTTCCTTGCCTCACAACCTCCATATGCCACATTATGTTGACCCCCACAGTTACAGCATTTCATTTGTACATCCACTCCACATTCATCATATCGATGATCTCCTCCACATTTGGCACATCTTTGTTTCCCCTTACATACTGCTGCGATATGACCATACCTTTGGCATTTAAAACAGCGCAAAGGGGGGGGGGGACATATGGTCTTACAGGAAAACTCATAAATCCAATTTTAATTTTATCAGGAAGGACCTCTCCTTGAAACTCCAAAAGAATCGATAAGCTCTCTATTTTTTCTCCATTTATATGCTTTTGCAATCTTTCCAATCTCCGAACTTCTCCCCACTGTATATTCTTTTTGAGTCTTTCTAAATCCTCCTCCAGCGGAATACCAGTGATAACACCACGTGACACTCTATTTTCTCCAACAATTAATTTCTCACTAACAACTTTTTTGCAAATGTTGTCAATCTGCATGCATTTATTCTTTTGATCTTCAGATTTGCATTTTATCAATATGTTTCCATCTCGTAATGTTTTAACAAATTCCACTTCCCCTAGTTTCTTTTTTATTTCCCTTGAGACTTGAATCGGGCTCAGTTTAACATTTATATCTTCGTTCCTGAATTTAAGTATTACCTTAAATTCTTCGTTTGTTACTTTTTCCTGACTGCTCTGTTTTCTTCATCAGAGCTGTACTCTTCCAAACTTCGTTTACTGTTCTGGCTACCAATTACTCTATCCTCTTTCAGAACCTTCGCCTTCCCTCTACCTCTTCCTCTTCCTACCGATGTCCACTCATCAAAATCCATATCATCCTCACCACCCCCATCTGACTTTGTTGCCATCCCGATCCAGTCACAAACCAGTTTATGTCAACCGCCTTCTCTCCGCTTCGTATCAACCGCTCGTACACCTGGCGTGCTACCATCCATGTGTCCCAAACAGCCCATCCGTATCTCTTCTCTAGGACATCTGAATCTAAAGCTTCAATCCCCTCATTTAGCTCAGCAGAGGCATGGTAACGAGCCACTCATTTGATTCAGGTGTGTTAAAAATGGTTGCATCAAATAGTTGCAGGATAGTAGCTCTTGAGGACTTGACTTGAGCACCCCTGATGTAATGCATTTTACTAAGTATATGCTGGCCTGAGGCAGTAGCTGAGCTGACAGAACACCTGCTATGGTTCAGATCCACCTCAGATTCTGTCTGGGATTTAGGTTTATGGAGTTAGCTGGCGTTCTAAGCACAGTTATTCTGCGTTCGTTAAAGCAGATATTCGTACTTATGGCTGTGTGGTAAGGTGTGGACTGCTGCCAGAAAATAATCTCTTCATACACCTTGTCAGCAGGGGAAATAATTATGTTATCTAATGTTTTGTGGTAGAGGAGTGCTCCAACCCGCTACACTAATACCAGCAGATGATTCGCCAAACAATCAGGCTGTATTCTGTGACTTTGGATATATATATACATATATATATATATATATATATGTATATGTTTATGTTTTGATTTCAACACCCTTGTTAATAGATGTTCGAGATCAGCCTGTTTTTCGGTGTAGTCCTGTCTCTGACTGTGACTGGCTGGATGTGCTCTCTTCATGACATGGGAGCTAGTCTGCTTCGCTGTGTGTTTCCTGGATGGCGCCGCATTTTACAGTTGCCTGTTGTATCTCTGCTTCTGTCTCCTTGAACCCCAGTGGGCCTCAGCAGATGGCCACTCACACTGAGCCTGGTTCTGCTGGAGGTTTCTTCCTGTTAAAAGGGAGTTTTTCCTCTCCACTGTCACTACAAGCATGCTTGATGTGAGAGATTGCCTTAGAGTCAATGAGTCGATGCAATCAACTGGTTTTCCTTAGATAGAAAACTTTGAATCAATCTAACTGGATGATCTGGTTGAATTGTAAAGTACCTTAAGATGACATGTGTTGAGAATTGAATTATTCATATATATAGCTATACATTTCAAATCCCAACGCATTTCATCTGTAAGACGTAGAAGCAAAAAATAGATAAAATATGTAAAGAGATAGGCCTATATACTGTAATTTGTAACGAATGTAAAAAAATAAAATTTCTCAAATAAATGTTTTGTTAAATTTTAATGATTTTAATTTATCTAAATATAACTACATAACTTAAAGCACTTCTTCACACAGTTTATAGAGGGACAAAATAAAGAGTTTGGTTATTAATAAGGATCTTGTTGTTGTTATTCTCCTAAAGGTGTAGTCGCCATGTGATCGTGAGGAAATTGAGCTGTGATCCAATTCGCTGCTCAGGTCACATGTCTGATCTCCATTGTCCGCAGAGCAGGGTGTGTACCGGGGGGCCGCTGTGTGGGCTGGGTCGGTGTTTTTCTCTCAGCAGCATCAGCAGCATCATCCTGCTGTATCTTCTTCCATCGCCTCCTTCCCGGAAAGATGCTGTGGACTGAAAGGAAGCAGCGGAGGCGCTGAGAAGCGGCGCGCATTGACTGAAACGGGGCGCGCCTCTCTGGTCCTGCTGCTGTCATCGCTGGCGCACCTGCATGGAAGTGACTCAGCTCGGAACGGCCTCCTAACCGGCTGAGGATATCAGTGACCGACGGCTGAATGACAGAAAAGCATGTCTGCAGGGAAACAGTGCGAGGCGGTCAGGGTGGTGGTCCGCTGCAGGCCGTTTAACAGGAGGGAGGAGACAGCAGGATGTGAGAACATCCTGGAGGTGGATGACAAACTGGGGCAGATCACCATCAGGAACCCAAAGGCGCCACCTGATGAGCCCATGAAAGTCTTCACCTTTGACTCGGTGTATGGCTGGAACTCAAAGCAAAGGGACATTTATGACGATGCTGTGAGACCTTTGGTGGAGTCTGTGCTCCATGGCTTTAATGGCACCATATTTGCTTATGGACAAACTGGGACAGGGAAAACACACACCATGCAGGGGCAGTCAAAGGACCCGGAGAAGAGGGGCGTCATCCCCAATTCATTCGAGCACATTTTCACCCTGATATCCAGAAGCCAGAACCAGAAGTATCTAGTGAGGTCTTCTTATCTTGAGATCTACCAGGAGGAGATCAGAGATCTTCTGTGCAAAGATAACAACAAGAAGCTAGAGCTCAAAGAGAGTCCCGACTGCGGGATTTACGTGAAAGACTTGTCCTCAGTGGTGACAAAGAATGCCACTGAGATCGAGCATGTGATGAACATTGGAAACCAGTCCAGATCTGTGGGATTCACCAACATGAACGAGCGCAGCTCCAGGTCCCACGCCATTTTCCTGGTGACCGTAGAGTGCAGCGAAAGAGGTCCAGATGGTGAGGACCACATACGCGTTGGGAAGCTGAACATGGTGGATCTGGCTGGAAGCGAGCGGCAGAGCAAGACGGGTGCAAAGGGGAAGCGCCTGAAGGAGGCGGCTAAGATCAACCTGTCCCTCTCTGCGTTGGGGAACGTCATTTCAGCACTGGTGGACGGGAAGAGCACCCACGTCCCGTACAGAGACTCCAAGCTGACCCGCCTGCTGCAGGACTCTCTGGGCGGCAACGCTAAGACTGTCATGATTGCAACAGTGGGGCCAGCTCACAAGAACTTCGACGAAACCCTGGCAACCCTGAGGTACGCCAGCAGAGCCAAGAAGATAAAGAACAAACCTCGGATTAATGAGGACCCCAAAGATGCACTTCTTAGGGAATTCCAGCAGGAGATTGCACGCCTGAAAGCTCAGCTAGAGGAGCGAGGGATACTGGCGAAAGAGAGGAGGAAGAGGAGGAGAGACAGTAAGAGACTGAGCAAAACCATGGCTGGTATGGAGGAGGAGATCCTGTGCGAGAAGGATGGAGATGTATGGAAGACGGCGGAGGAGGCAGAAGGTGGGAGGTGTTGCCTGATTGAGGGAGGTGACAGTGCAAATTTCCTGACCTGCCAGGGAAGCAGCGAAAAACTGAAGAACCTAAATCTTAATAGAAGGAGTCTGATGGACATGCAGTGGGATCAAGATGCCGTGGAGAAGATCATAGAGAAATACAAGGTGGTTTATTAAGCATGATAAATGAGACGCCAGTTAAACAAAAGAACCGGCGTGAATAATTTATTGTGTCTTTGTTCACAGACTATGGAGAGCAAACTGTTGGTTGGTGGAAAGACTATAATTGATCACACTAATGAGCAGCAGAAAATGCTGGAGCAGAAAAGACAGGAAATCGCTGAACAGGTGAAAATTGCAAAAATGAAAAAAGTTACATTGAGCCTTTTGTTGAAGCCCTTTTTTTGTTGTTTTGAATTAAAATTAAAGGTTTCAATCTAATTTGAATTTCTTGGCTCGCAGATAAGAAGAGAGAGAGAAATCCAGCAGCAGATGATGTTACAAGATGAGGAGACCTTAGAAATCAAAGAGACGTTCTCCTCCCTGCAGCAGGAGGTGGAACATAAGACAAAGAAGCTAAGGAGGGTGGGGTGACTCATTTCACTAGCACCCTGGTGGCATAATCTCTAAAGAAGTTCCTGTTTATTTTTATAGAAATAGGCATTAAAACATCTGTTGTGGCGGAACTCAGTTCAGATGTGCATCTTGTTTGTTTTGCCTGCTGATAAGTATAATTTGCTGGTTATTGTTTGCAGTTGTATGCTAAGCTCCAGCTGCTGAGGGGAGAGATGAAAGATGTCTTTGATGAACATGTCACAACCAGACAGGAACTTGAAGAAACGCAAGAAGAGCTAACCAGAGAGCTCAAGTACAAGTAAGTAATGAGAATCTTGAAAAGGTATTGCAACCTCTTAAACCTTTTTTTTTCTTAATATTAATCGTGATTAATTGATTATTGAAATAATGGTCAACTATTTTAGTAATTGATTAATCGATAACTAGAGTATAGAGACTTCTAACACATGCCTTTAACTGCCAAAGCAATTTACGTAGAGCAGTAATTATATACATTTTTTTTAAAGGCACACTATGCAACATTTTTCAGTTAATTAATGTGTTCCATAACGTTTTGGATGATTAAATGAGTCATTTCAGGTTGAACAAAGGTATTCTCGGCCGCCCTGGTGGTCTGTGGGGGAAATACCGCACTTGCAATTGCAGGAGCACCGATCCGCACCCACAGTCTCAGAAGTCTCGCGAGAGTCGGTCTTGCTTTACGGCGAGAACTGCTACACGCCCCCAGTTAAAAGCATGCTCTTTGCTAGCACAGTGGCGATCTTTGTGCAGCGCTGCTTTCACACCGGACGCAGCAAAAGCAGCAAAATCGCGTCTGCTGCTTCATTTTTGCTGCTTGTACCAGTTCTGTTGGCGGCTGAAGCAGCTTTGCTGCTCTGGCTGCGCGGTGCAAAAGTGTGTCTGACGTGCTTTGGGCGGAGCTTCACTATCCTTTCTCTGCCTTGCAGCTATATTTGCTGTGATCAGTGGGAATAAAGTAGTTTTAATATGTTTTTAAGTGAGAAAATACACCTGAAAACGTAATCAGTGCCGTCAGTTCCTCCAGATTACAATCCTGCCTTCCAATATTTTTTCTGTCGGAGCCGCTCAGACCCCCACATAGCAGCGGTGCGCCGAAAGTAGGAATCCCTTCATCAGCAGCCTCTGGCCGGGTCGCCTCCTCGCGGTTCACCGCGGCGGCTGGTAGGTGTTTTTCATCTAAATAATCCAAACTGCAGGCAGCAGGATAATAAAAGCGAACATATTCTGTCGGCAGATTTCTGCATTTTAAGTTGATTTAGGCGTCAATAAACTGTTTAAGAGGAGTGATCATAGCGCTCTGATCATCAGCGCTGTGTCTCTCTCCCTGCCAGCTCCCAGATCAACTTCTCTGATTGGTTGAGGCGGCGCGTCGAGCAGCAAAAATAAAATTTTTCCATCTCGAGCAGCAGCGCGTTTGCGGCGCGTCACACCCGTCAGATGCTTAAACGCGCCCGACGCGCTTCTTTAGCTGCTCAGACGCGCTGCGCCTGCTGCTCAAAATGCGCCGCGGGACCTTTTGCTGCGCCTTGACGCGCGTCAACCATTGACTTTGCATGTAAACTCGCTGCTTCTGTCGCGCCAGCTGCGTTCGCCTGTCTGCTAAGCTCAAAACAACCGCGTCTGGCTTGACGGAGAAACCAGGAGAACAGCTGAGCATATTTACGACAGTGCACTTTTACTTTCGCCCTCTGGGGGGAGCCTCGCTGGAAAATCAACACCGGTTGCATAGTATACCTTTAAAATCTATAAATATTTAGCATTTAAAATAAAAAAAAAACTTTTTTTCTGTCAAGATGTTCGATCCAGAACTCCTCGAGTTGAAAAGTTTTAGTTACACCTGGTTTGATTTTGTAAAAAGTCTTCTTTAAGGAACCGTTGGCTATCTGATTATTAATCGATTAATAAAAAAAAATAATTGACAGATTAAAACAATCGTTAGTTTATATATACAGGTGCTGGTCATAAAATTAGAATATCATGAAAAAGTAGATTGATTTCAGTAATTCCATTTAAAAAGTGAAACTTGTATATTATATTCATACATTACATACAAACTCATATATTTCAGATGTTTATTTTGTTTAATTTTGATGATTACAAATGACAACAAATGAAAATCTCAAATTCATCATATCAGAAAATTAGAATATTACTGAAGACCAATAAAAACAAAGGATTTATAGAAATGTTGGCCAACTGAAAAGTATGAACATGAAAAGTATGAGCATGTACAGCACTCAGTATTTAGTTGGGCCTCCTTTGGCCTGTATTACTGCAGCAATGCGGCGTGGCATGGAGTCGATCAGTCTGTGGCACTGCTCAGGTGTTATGATAGCCCAGGTTGCTCTAATAGTGGCTTTTAGCTCTTCTGAATTGTTGGGTCTGGTGTATTGCATCTTCTTCTTCACAATACCCCATAGATTTTCTATGGGGTTAAGGTCAGGAGAGTTTGCTGGCCAATTAAGAACAGGGATACCATGGTCCTTCAACCAGGTACTGGTAGCTTTGGCACTGTGTGCAGGTGCCAAGTCCTGTTGGAAAATGAAATCTGCATCTCCAAAAAGTTGGTCAGCTGCAGGAAGCATGAAGTGCTCTAAAACTTCCTGGTATGTGGCTGCGTTGACCCTGGACCTCAGAAAACACAATGGACCAACACCAGCAGATGACATGGCACCCCAAACCATCACTGACTGTGGAAACTTTACACTGGACTTCAAGCAACGTGGATGAAGTGCCTCTCTTCTTTTCCTCCAGACTCTGGGACCTTGATTTCCAAAGGAAATGCAAAATTTACTTTCATCAGAGAACATGACTTTGGACCACTCACCAGCAGTCCAGTCCTGTTTCTCTTTAGCCCAGGCAAGACGCTTCTGACGCTGTCTGTGGTTCAAGAGTGGCTTGACACAAGGAATGCGACAGCAGAAACCCATGTCTTTCATACGTCTGTGTGTGGTGGTTCTTGAAGCACTCACTCCAGCTGCAGTCCACTCTTTGTGAATCTCCCCCACATTTTTGAAGGGGTTTTGTTTCACAATCCTCTCCAGGGTGCGGTTATCTCTCTTGCTTGTACACTTTTTTCGACCACATCTTTTCCTTCCCTTCGCCTCTCTATTAATGTGCTTGGACACTGAGCTCTGTGAACAGCCAGCCTCTTTAGCGATGACCTTTTGTGTCTTGCCCTCCTTGTGCAAGGTGTCGATGGTCGTCTTTTGGACAACTGTCAAGTCAGCAGTCTTCCCCATGATTGTGTAGCCTATAGAACTAGACTGAAAGACCATTTAAAGGCTTTTGCAGGTGGTTTGAGTTAATTAGCTGATTAGAGTGTGGCACCAGGGGCCATCAATTTTGAACCTTTTCACAATATTCTAATTTTCTGATATGATGAATTTGAGATTTTCATTTGTTGTCATTTGTAATCATCAAAATTAAACAAAATAAACATCTGAAATATATGAGTTTGTATGTAATGTATGAATATAATATACAAGTTTCACTTTTTAAATGGAATTACTGAAATCAATCTACTTTTTCATGATATTCTAATTTTATGACCAGCACCTGTATATATATATATATATACACTATATTGCCAAAAGTATTTGCTCACCCATCCAAATTATTGGAATCAGGTGTTCCAATCACTTCCATGGCCACAGGTGTATAAATTCAAGCACCTAGGCATGCAGACTGTTTTTACAAACATTTGTGAAAGAATGGGTCGCTCTCAGGAGCTCAGTGAATTCCAGCGTGGAACTGTGATAGGATGCCACCTGTGCAACAAATCCAGTCGTGAAATTTCCTCGCTCCTAAATATTCCACAGTCAACTGTCAGCTGTATTATAAGAAAATGGAAGTGTTTGGGAACGACAGCAACTCAGCCACGAAGTGGTAGGCCACGTAAACTGACGGAGCGGGGTCAGCGGATGCTGACGCGCATAGTGCGAAGAGGTCGCCAACTTTCTGCAGAGTCAATCACTACAGACCTCCAAACTTCATGTGGCCTTCAGATTAGCTCAAGAACAGTGCGCAGAGAGCTTCATGGAATGGGTTTCCATGGTCGAGCAGCTGCATCCAAGCCATACATCACCAAGTGCAATGCAAAGCGTCGGATGCGGTGGTGTAAAGCACGCCGCCACTGGACTCTAGAGCAGTGGAGACGCGTTCTCTGGAGTGACGAATCGCGCTTCTCCATCTGGCAATCTGATGGACGGGTCTGGGTTTGGCGGTTGCCAGGAGAACGGTACTTGTCTGACTGCATTGTGCCAAGTGTAAAGTTTGGTGGAGGGGGGATTATGGTGTGGGGTTGTTTTTCAGGAGCTGGGCTTGGCCCCTTAGTTCCAGTGAAAGGAACTCTGAATGCTTCAGCATACCAAGACATTTTGGACAATTCCATGCTCCCAACTTTGTGGGAACAGTTTGGAGCTGGCCCCTTCCTCTTCCAACATGACTGTGCACCAGTGCACAAAGCAAGGTCCATAAAGACATGGATGACAGAGTCTGGTGTGGATGAACTTGACTGGCCTGCACAGAGTCCTGACCTCAACCCGATAGAACACCTTTGGGATGAATTAGAGCGGAGACTGAGAGCCAGGCCTTCTCGTCCAACATCAGTGTGCGACCTCACAAATGCGCTTCTGGAAGAATGGTCAAAAATTCCCATAAACACACTCCTAAACCTTGTGGACAGCCTTCCCAGAAGAGTTGAAGCTGTTCTAGCTGCAAAGGGTGGACCGACGTCATATTGAACCCTATGGATTAGGAACGGGATGTCACTTAAGCTCATATGTGAGTCAAGGCAGGTGAGCAAATACTTTTGGCAATATAGTGTATATATATATATATATATATATATATATATATATATATATATATATATATATATATATATATATATATATATACACACATTAGGGCTGCATATATATATAACACAAAATCCAGTCTTGCAGAAAATCCGAATTAGTTTGGATTTTCAAATTATAGTTCGGTTATCAGTAAAAATGCATCGGAATTTGTTTGATATAATTACGTCAGAAACCAAGGTAGTCACTTCCTAGTCAGCTAAGTAACTCCAACTCTGAGTCTCTGAAGGGTTTCTCTCAGTCTGGGTCAGCATGTTATAGAATCATGGACTGGATCGATGTCCCCAAATGAATTCTACTCATGAGCTACAAGACATCCTGGAAGAAATGTAATGTAGCATAAAGTGAATCAATTTGCATTTGATAAAAACAATATAATACTTTTACTTTTGACACATTTATTTTGCTTTTTGAGTTTGAAGTTGCATAATACAATAAAAATCCCCTTTTCTGTTTAACCCATCTTCATTTTCAACTTATGTGAATTTACAATAAATAAATACACTTTGAGTTATGCGCTGCAGGTAAGTTAGCTATATAATATAATTAAATGAGATCTTACCTTAGAAAATCCATTAAAGCTACAGTGTGTAACTTTTAGCGACATCTAGCGGTCAGACTGCAGACTGCAGCAACATGAACATCTCCCCCCACCGCTTCTCCCCCCCAACAGTACGGTGAGCATTACGGGACAAAATGTCTTCCACGACGTCCGCATCACCTACCTTCTGTGATGAGGTTTGTTTACATAGATAATTTTACAGATAGTATTTCTTTAGTCTGTGTAGGGTATAGATTTTTATGTAGACTTAAGATAATAAATATACCCGTTATTTTTTCTACATCGTTGTGACATTTTGGCGATCTCGCAATCGCTAGTTTGTTGGCTCTGCGCTGCCGTAGCGCAAAGATGTCTGCCTCCATGGCTGCGAGACCCGCTCCTATGTAATTATAAATAACCAATTCTAAGGCAACGCAAATATTAAGGTTAAGAGGCTGAGCTCGTAGATGATGATAAATAACATAGTTATGTATAATATATTACATTTCTGACTGTATATCCCTGTAATTATTACACACTGTAGCTTTAAGATGCTCTAATTAATGTCTATTGCAATAACTCAATTTGTTTGCATTAAGTTTAGACTCTTTGTGTTTCAACTACCCATCTTTATTTTAAAGACTGCATTTACATAATAAAATTTATATAACCATCTATTATACATACTTTCATGAAATGTTGAGCCCTGGTGTTAAATTTTTTTTTTTTTGGTTGTTTGTTTATTTGTATTTTTTTAGATGCTTTAAACAATTTAGACGTTTAAGTGAACTTTTATATTGCATTTTGCAGATATCTCCTGATTGAGAATTTTATTCCTCCTGAGGAAAAGAACAAAATTATGAACCGGCTGCAGTTTGACAGTGAGGAGGATCAGTGGTGGTTGCAACCAGTTATTCCTTCAGACAGGTCAGTAAATCAATTTCACATCATCCTCATCATGAACTATTTGCACGTGAGCACTGAATAATGTAGGATGTAGATGTGTATTACCTAGTATGATCGAAGTCTGAATAAGCAGAGTACCATCTATTGCCAGAATAACGCTATGGCGACAGGGTCAGTGGATCTGCGAATCAATGGGCCTCCAAATGGTTAAATGAGGGCAAAGGTTAGTTAGAAAAATGCAGCTCGTTAGGAGCTCCCTAACGAGCCAATTTATCCTCCTAAAAAAGCAGTGTAATATATCTCCTGAAAACATAAGACTGTTTCAGTTTTACATTTTCAGTACAAATTTTATCTTTAAATTCACAAGGTATTTGCAAAAACACCAACTGATTTCTATTTTTTCACAATCAGAGTTCCATGATGTCAATATTAGGTTCTCTTTTGTTTCCAGAGAATATTTATTTAAATCTAGGCCATCCTGTCTAATGTATTTTTTCCAGCACATCCACTCTGGTCAAGAGAAGGCCTCTTTCCGCTGTGGGATACAAGAGGCCAATCAGCCAATATGCACAGATGGCCGTTGCCACCGCTACCAGGACCCCGTTTAGATACCAGGTCAGTGCTCAGACAGCACAACACAAGGCCAGAAGGAGCAATCCAGTGGGTCTATTTCTAATATCATGTAGCCCTGTTTAGGACATATGAAGGTGATTGTAGCCGTGAAAATGTAGGTTTGTTTTCCGCCTACATTGTTGTGATGCATCGTAATGGATTCCAGTCCAACAAACTGCTTTCAGAACTTTTGTTTATTCAAATAAAATTTAGCCTCAACACGGGAATCCTCACTGCAAAACATTATGGTGGCTAGCATCATGCTGTGGGGATTGTTTTCCCCAGCAAGAAGAAGGAAATTTGACTAATTGGATGGGAGGACTGTCAATATTTTACTAAAGTTCAGACCCAAATGCAGAAGACCAAACAGGGAGACCAGGAGAAAAGGTTTAACAGGTTTAATCGAAGAGATAATGCTGAGAGAAGTGTTGCTCTAAACACTGCTCAACTGGAACTGAAAAGTGAGGGGAAGACACAGCGATTAGTTCAGGCTCAGTGGGAAAATTGGTTTGTGAACTTGGAGAAGAGGATTTAGTTGCTGACTCACGTTTCCAGAGAAGTTGTTGAATGTTTGACTCCAATCTGTATGCTGTAGTTCCAGTGTTTGTCTGATTCTGGAGGGCGGAACAGGATTTTCCCAGAATTCAGTTGTTTGTAGGTGAACGGAGAAGCTGACTGCCACTCAGATTTCCTGCGGTACTTGAACGGATCGTAGTGGATATGAATTCCTTTCTCAGTGTGAAGCACAAACAATCTCTTGGGGAAAGTGGATCCAAACCTCCTGTTTGTAACCCCAGCTCAGCTTGAGGCTCTGTTGATCCTTCCAGGGAGAGAAGGTCCGAAAAATCCAGTTTGCAGGATGACTTCCTGCCGAGAGGCAAAGACAAAAACAATGTTAAAACTCAGGTTGACAAGAACTCAGTTTGACTCAGCAAAACTCAGCTTGGCTAGAGTACGCCAAACTGGCAAACACTCTGGCATCAAGGTAGGGGCAGTCAGCAGTTTAAGAACACTCTGTTAACGAGGAAACCATCAGCGGGTGTGTGAGGAGGCGGACCAGAACCAGGCGCCTCCTGGTGGAGGAAGGGAGACAAACACAGAACACAAACACACAGACAGGAGTCCTGACAAGGATGGGCATAGATAAATGAGATTGGGACCGTAAGTTGACCTTCCAAAAAGAAAACAACTTTAAAGACTAGAACTAGAGCTTCAGTTGAATGACTTATATCGAGGTATAGCCATGTGGTTGAATAGGCTCTCTCAAAGTCTGGGACTTAGTTAAACTCAGTTATGGTAGCAACAGATAAAAAACAATATTAATTTACCATTCATGCAGACTGACTGATATATAGTATGAGGTTGAGGAGAAACTGACTGTTGCAAGAGATTGATCAAATGTATTTAACTTCCTCAGACGGACAGATAGAGCTCTGACTGAGGCAAGCTCAGTACATACATTTATACTAGGGATGCACGATATAATCGCCCCCCTACCGGTATCGGCCTTAAAACTGAATATCGGACATCGGCCACCCCACCGATATTTAACCCGATATTTGATCAGCTTCTGAGTTTCTAAAATCTAAAAAAAAAATAAAAAATACTACTACTTCTTCCTCAAAAACTTCTTTTTTACAGACTTAAAAACTTCTAAAGACGAGGGAAAAAATATTGATACATTAAAATATCACAATATCTTCATATGCTGATATATTGCCATTTAAAAACACCATATCAATCTCTTTTACTAATGAAATATATTTCTATATGTCATCGTTATGCTACGAAATCCCCCGAAAATTCACGAAATGTTGCCATATTTTTATATGTTGATATATTGACGCGGTATCGATCTATTTTACTAACAAAATCTCACAAGAATTTGCAAAATATCACGAGAGTTTGTAACAGAACAATGAAATTTCACGAGATTTTGAAAGTAAAATAGATCGATACCGCATTTTTAAAAATCAATTTGATATCAGCATATGAAAATATATTTGAGTATATTATTTTTCAAAGTGTCAGAAATGGATAACAAAACTGCTATTTTCAATGACTACTTATTTTTGTCCAGCTTTAACATCGGTATCGATATCGGTTATCGGCTACATGAGTTTTAAAATATCGGCATATCGGATATCGGCCAAAATCCCAATATCGTGCATCCCTAATTTATACCTTACAAAATCCCAACACTCTCTCTCTCCCATGGAACCATCCCACCCCTGCACAAAGAACTTTCTCACACTTAAACATCTGGAGGAAGACAACTTCAGTTCATCTTGAACTTTTCCTGTTAGGTTCATATAAATTTCACTGGCCAGCTGGATCTTCTCAAAACAGCAGTCCTCCTATTCATGCCATGAAGGAGGCTGTGTGAACTCATTCTTATCTCTCATGACCTTCGTTTGGAGCCTGTGAGGCTAAGAACAGACATACCTCAACATTTTTTACTCCACAATAGCTATATCTCAAGCATAAAACTTGTCTTGGGATGTTTAATGTTGATAAAGATATAAAGAAAACTTAAAGCATCATTAAACTCAAAGGTGGCCTTGCAACGTATTGACTCAGGAGGTCAGAATACAAATGCATGCCACACTTTTCAATTCATCCATAGTTTCCTTTGCACTTCTTAGTTGTCTGTGCGTATCATAAATCCCTAAATACTAAGGTCTGCAGTTGTAATGTGATAAGATGTTAAAAGGTCTAAGGGAAATGTTTGCAAGACAATTTAAATAATTCAGGTAATTGACCATTATCCTGTACCTCAACATGATTGAAGACCATTTGAATTGTTTAGGACTCTGCTTTTATAACAAGTTTATTATCTCTTCTTACAGGCAGAAAATATCATGCTGTTGGAGTTGGATATGTCCCCGCCAACCATGTTCACTCTGAACTTAAACGGTGAATGCTTAGAGAGAGCCTTCACCCCCAGGCTGATGCCGGATCTATCACTAAACGTGCACGCAAGAGGTGCTTCATCCTTGCGGGTCAGGAAATCCCAGTCCTGGTAAGAGAATAACAGATAAATATTTCATTTTAAATACTTATATGGCCCTTTTTAAAATAATAACACACAGGATAGCTAAAAGTGTTTTACTTTTCAATTTTTATAACTCCTTTACATGTCTTTAAAACTATTAAACTATATTGTATTGATGTCGGAGTTGCAGCTAAAAATGGTTTTGTTGTCAATGGATGCAGGTATCAAGCACCGCACCCAGCATCTGTCACATCCTCCTCATCCTCCACTATTTTGACATCAGAACTTCAGAGCTGCTCCCCCTCTCAGAGACAAAGACCATCCTCTGCCACATATCTTTCTTTGGAAGGACCACATCAGACGAGCCCCTGATGGGTTTTCTGTTGCAAAGAGATGTGGGGGAAAAAACGCATCTATTAATTCATTTTAAAATACATAAGATTTCATGAGAAAACATCTTTTGATCTGGATGATAACTAAAAGTGGTATTAATTAATTTGAAACATTCTGCATTCTCTCTCTCTTTTAGATTTGTTTTAGTTGATTAAGTTTTATTTATGTAGCACCTCTTACAGTTATGGTAAAAATGTAAGTGCTTTTATGCTAAACTTATCTCAGCTCGACAAGATCTCTTTGCTTTGCATTTTTGGTCTAAACTAACTTTTTTGTTTAAACAGACTTTTTCTAAGTCTGAAATAATGCAGTTAATTGCAGGATATCTTAGAATTATCTTATAAATTATCTTTCAAATTAGACCTGACAGGGTTATGTCTTTCAACACATTGATTGTTTAGAAAGATTTTCCATAATCTCCAAATAATACTCGATATCAAAAAAAGTGTTTTTATGACTCTAATTAAAAACTGTTTTGCAGCAGGAGGTCACCAAGAGGCAGTCAGATGTCAGAATAGGCTGATATAAACAGTGTTCAGAAGCCCAATCAATTGAAACAGAATGAAATATAAAGTTTTGATTGAATCACAAAGAATCAAATTATGTTGATGAAATTATAGTTGAGATATTTGCATTTTTATAAACATATTCTCCATTGTAAAACTAAATATAAACTGAATAACTACAATGCAAAATTAAACGGATTTCCCATAGTTTCAATGGATTGAAATAATATTTATTTGCTGGTAAAAAGATACAGTACAAAGGTGAGTCGGGCTACATATTGGAGAAAGATGCATAACTATGGCTTTCTGCTTTTTGATAAGTAAACATTGGCCAAAAAGCATATTTAATGCACAAAGAACCAAGGAGATCTTTGAGTGCTTCATTATGAAATATGAAGACAGATAATAAACAAATGCTGCTAATTTAAGCCAACTAAAAAACTTCTTAACTGACAGCTGAAGTCCTCTATTGGTCAGAAATGTTAGTCATTCTTAGTAGTTAGGTTTTTGAATCACAGTATTGTTTCTTTGGATCTAAGAAAGGTACAATGACATAACCCTGCTAAATAATAATAATTCATACATCTACAAAACATCTAAAATGGCCCCAAAACAGTGTGAATGTGTCTAGTGGATGTATAAGCACTTTTAAGCATGGCGGTGGAGAGGTGGTGATCTTGGCTTGCTTGTTGACATTAACTGAACATAGTTGCGTGTCTGTAAAATCCACTAAACAGATCAATTTCTATTCTTGCTTTACTTCCTCTCCCAAAACATGTACCTTTCAGTCTTAAAGGAAACCTAAACAGCTCTTTGTTGCAAAGGATTTAACCAATACATGACTCTTCTGCATTCTTTTTTTTTAAAGCCTTTTTTTTATAGATGGTTGCAGACAAACGGAACAAATGTCTTTGCCAAAAACTTTTAGGCTTGTTGAATGATAGATCATCCTGGTATAGCCTATTTGCCAAATAATGTTTTGCTACAGTTTCCGGTTAATGTGATTGTGAACCAAAAGTGTGAAGAAAGCTTGCACTGCTGTCTTGATTAGCTGCCTTACTTTTTCATGATTGTGAAAAGTCAACTTGCCTACTTATCAAATAAACACTAAATAGTCTTAAAACTGTCTGTTTTTTTTCTTTTCTTTCAAAGATTATTATTGCAATCCTGAAATGACTTTTAAAGTGATCCGGATGATTTATATCAGTTTCTCATCCAGTGCTGCACGGTGTAGCAGTGGGTAACGCTGTTGCAAGAAGCTTCCGGGTTCGATTCCTTGCATGGGTTATTTCTGCATGGAGTTTGCATGTTCTCCCTGTGCATGCGTGGGGTCTCTCCAGGTACTCCGGCTTCCTCCCACAGTCCAAAAACAATTCTATTAGGTTAATTGGCCTCTCTACATTGTCCTTAGGAGTGAGTGTGTGTGTCTCTGTGTTGCCCTGCGACAAACTGGCGACCTGCCAAGGGAGTACCCCGTCTCTCACGGCCGGAGATAGGCACCGGCCTCACCATGACCCTGACGAGGACTTATGCGGGAGAAGATTGATAGATGGAAGGTTTCTTTGATTGATTTATTGGTTGGTTGATTGACTTTATTGATCTCACGGTGGAGAAATGTAGTCGTTACATCGGCTCAAATAGTCAAAGGAGAAGAAGAAGGTGCCAAAGGAAGAAAAATGTGCATGGGATATATATATATATATATCGATAGATACATTTATATACAGTGTGTCCAGGGAGTTTACATGGGTTCATGGATATTTACATTCATATATATAGTTATTGCACTGGGTGTCAAATAGTAATTGCACATTTTTACAAGGGTGTAAAAGTATTTCACTAAAAGAGCCGCTCAGAAGATGTTGTCCATGATGGATGTAAGCTTGGACAACACCCTCCTGTCAGCCACGTCCTCCACTGAGTCCAGGGAGAAGCCCAGGACAGAAACGGCCTTCCTCACCAGTTTGTTCAGTCTCTTCCTGTCCCACTCTGCGCTGCCCGGGGCCCAGCATATAACAGCGCCGATGCCATTTCAGAGTCATAGAAGGATTTAAGCAGGAGCCTGGTCACTCCTAATGACCTCAGCCCCCTCAGGAGGTGGAGGCGGCTCTGGCCCCTCTAATACAGGGCGGGGATGTTATAAGTCCGGTCCAGTTTAGTATTGATGCACACACCCAGATATTTGAAACATCCACAGATTTCATGGTCTGCATAGACTATTCCTTTGTTTTTTAAAGATGTTTAATCAAGGTTAAAGCTGTTCTCCCAAAGGACATACCTCCCAATCAGAGCTTTTTTTTTTTTTATGATAATGCCTTTTTTACACCCTGCTTTTAATGAAATCCCTCTTTAAAGGTTTTTGCTTGTGAACCATCAAGCTGCAGAATGTTTGAAACAGTATATAAGAATACTGTATGGGTAAGATTTAACATGAAATCACATGGAAATTCAAAGTTGATTTTGTATTAAATAATTAAAAAAACAAAAATATATAGAGAAGAATTGACAATTGACAGTTGAAGAAATGTCATACAACAGCAGTCTTGTCAGACGTAAATGTACAATTTCTTTTCGGCAACCCTCCATAATTTGTTGTATGTAGCATTATTTATATTGTCTGTACAGTAGGAAAATATATTGTATTAATGTGATATTGTTGATTTACTCTCATCTTATGAATAATTTCCAAAAAATCATTGTACATAATAACCAACCAGCTAGTTTTTTTTTTTGTATTAATTATTTTTCCTTCAACAACTGAAATTCAAACTTCAAGTTTTCAAATCCCAGCTCAGACAGTTTAGACATTAATAATGCATCTATTTCCAATTCTGGCAGGATTACATTTCTAACTAGTGATTCATTGAAAACTTTACAGTTTCCTAAAATTATTTAAAGAATATTTTTAATATTATTTAATGTCAGTACACACAATTTCTGTAAATTTTGTAAAATCCTGCAGTAAAATCCCTACTTCCATATGCAAATATGATTTACCTGCAGGAAATTTTTTTATTTTTTTTACTTGGTAGAAAAAACTACTCCAGAGAGCCTCTTTAAATGCGGGAATCTTGAGGATTTGGATTTGTGTTTTTTTATTGAAAAGATTTTACAAACAAACAATTATACAGAAGAACATTAAATTCTAAAATAAAATAAAATTAGAAACAATTAAAAGGAGTGTAAATACATTATTCTTTGAAAAATCTCTCAAAAATATCCTTGGAAGTATTGCTCTACTGTAAGGGATTTCTTGTTCTATTTTAATTCGTGCAAGAAACATGTGAAGTTGGGGGAATCTTGAGGATTTGGAATGACAGCCACTTACAGTACACGGGTGACGTTTCCATGTCACGTGACGCTTTACAGTAAGTCCAACATGGCAGATAGAGTAGGTCTTGCACGGTGACTAAAGCAACATTTCATTAGAAACGGTCGCTCCAAACTCCACAGGGCCACGGGACGTCCACGATGAGGGAGAGACAGAAGAAAAAGAAGGGGAGGACGTGGGCGGAAGCCGCTAAAACGGTGAGGGTGTGTGTGGGGGGGTTATCTTCCGTTTGTTGTGGTTGTTTTCCTTGAACGCTCCCACTTGTACAACTGTGTTGACGAGTTCATGACCCGCTGGTGGAAATGTTGCGTACACCGCAAGGCCTGTTTTGACGGTCCTGCCGCTGCTGTCACAAGCAGGGAGCTCACTTTCTCTCTCCTCCGAGAGGAAACGCAACTTTGTTGAGATGGCGTATGTGCACCAAAGCATGCCTCTGAACCCAACGTTCGTGTTTCATGCTTATAGCAGGACTGACAAATCCTAATCGGTCCAATTCGGATAGAATAAACACCAAGGGATCACGTCAAGGCTGCGTTAGCATCAGCGGCTAGCTCGTGCTAAGTCCGCTTACGAGTTGAATTACTTTCCAGTGGACTAGAATTTTAAGTATATTTTCTTAACCTTTTAGTTTTACTACTATCTTTCCACATGCGTTTGTTTTTAAATGTCAAGGTTATTTCACTCCATGTCAACAGGTGTATTGAATCGTGTTAGCTTTAATGCTAATTGAACTAGCTTAGCATGCTAAGAAGTACTTAATGAAAACTCCTAGAAGTAGGCGAATGTCAAAACAGAAACATTTTACTTAGTTGCAGGAATATTAGCGGCCCACAGACAAATGGCTTAATGCACTAGTTAGATTAATTACAACTTAAAGATAAGTGACAGTAAATATCTGATCGTTTTCAAATGGGTTACATTTCATGTCACAGCTGGCTGAAAGTAGGAAAGGAACTTCAATGTTCGATGGTGAAGCCATATTAGGAAAATAGGCGCAGTTTTTCTACACTGAGAAAAAAGTATCATCCCAATGAACATTTCACATTTACTCACAAGTATGTGTATTTCAGTATGAGTTGGATGATATTCTGAAAATTAATTGGGGATTTCTAAAAGTCATTTTTTTTATTTTAAATAGTTTAAATCAGGCATCCCCAAACTCGGTCCTCAAGGCCCCCTGTGCTGCAGGTTTTAGAGGTTTCTCTGCTTCAGCACAGCTGGTTATAATGATTGCAGTAGACCAAAAGCCTGTTAATCAGCTTTCAATTAAAATCACCTGTGCTGGAGCAAGGAAACCTCTAAAACCTGCAGGACAGGGGGCCTTGAGGACCGAGTTTGGGGATGCCTGGTTTAAATAATTTGTTTGCTTGTTTTTTCAAATAAAAATGGTTAGAACTATAGCTGTGCACAAAAGTCTGCCCTAATCACTATATAGGGCAGGGATCTGTAACCTGCGGCTCGAGAGCCACATGTGGCTCTTTGGACCCTCTACAGTGGCTCTTAATAGAGGCTAAAATGTACAGGAAGAGCTAAATAATGTACTATAATAAATACCAGTCTTTAAAGCTTTAGTGGGTTTTATAAGATGGAAAGGAATGACATTAAAAGAACCAGAAATCTTTTTAGAGACATTTTTCTTTTGTAAATTATGAGATTTAACATTATTTTAAAAGTTAAAAATACATAAATTGTTGGTTGTTATATTAATATGGCAACTAATTTCCTTTACGAGATGATAAAAAAAAAATGGGTTATTCTCTGTGGCTCTAAACAACTTTTAGTTGGGCAGACTCAGGGCAAAAAGGCTCTTTGGATATGAAAGGTTGCAGACCCCTGATATAGGGGGATTATATAGTGGCTATGCCATTTTAGATGAGTGTCCAAAAACATCTAGTGGATGAAAAAGATGTGGACTGGAAATTTCCCAGAATGCACCTTGGAAAGTAGAGATTGTTTCACTACCCTATCCGACCCGGAAGCACGGTCCGTACCATCAGCTCATTTGGGCATGCGCAACCAAATATACATCCAGGTTTCCATAATTCATGTAATTATGGTACTAAAATTACTTATTTCTATCCTTTACTCACCAAAGAATAATAATAATACACACCATTAAAAAATGAGACAGTTTTGATGCTTTTTTTCATATTCTCTGTTAAACTGCGTGTGTGACGTCATCATCGGACATGCTCTGAGTAGTCTGGCAAAATATGATTAAACCATGTTTATCTGTGTTTTAGTTGTTTAGATTTCAAACTATACGGTTAACACGAAAAGGGAAAAGACCTAAAAGACTAGATTTATGTTTACCGGTAAATCCAAAGCCAAAAAAGTTAGCTCCCGGAGGTAGCGTTGGATCTAATTTCCGGTGCAGATCGGGGACAGATAAGTGATAAAACAGAAAGGATTTTAATGCATTTATTTTCTCAGGAAATACATTATTAACCTTTAACACATTATAGTTTAGTAGGCTTACTATTTTTGGGGAGGGAAAAACGTAATTTAGGTCTTTTTTACAAAATAAAATCGAGCCAGACCCGGATGTATATCTGGATAAGCATGCGCAAATGAGTAGATGGTGAGGAGAGCATTCCTTGCAAAGCATTATGGGATTTGTTGTTTCAGAGGGCCACTGTCAGGTTTTGACAAATGACAAAGATGGCGCAGGCATCGTGGAGGGAGGCAGAGTCACTTGACCAATGGTCAGGGAAAAGTAGTGATCACTGTCAGAATGGTCAGTTAATGGCATACTGTGTAACTTTTGGCCACTAGGGGCGCTAGTCCTGAAATTGCCCGTATTTTGCTTCTAGTAAACATCTGTCATGGGCCCTTGCTTTCTGACTTGCATGCAGAACACATTTAGTAGACAGGTAAGGCAGATTTAAGATTGTTTATTTAAAACAAAACAAGGAGGCTTTCATTTTTCCACCCTTGAACATCCGTGAACATGTTTACAAACTACATTTATTCATTTATTTATGTATATATATATAAATATATATATATTAGGGCTGGAACGGTTCACAAAATCCACGGTTCGCTTCGATTGAAGGTTTCGTGGTCACTTCCTTCGGTTCGGTTCGGTACATGTTGATTGTTACTAGGGGTGTAAATAATAATCGTTTTGTATCGATGCATCGATCCAAAAGCCGACGATCCGATGCATCGACACGTCCGCAAGATAATCGATTCATGTTTTTTTTCTTCCTCCGGTCTATTTTTATCCATTTGCTCCTGGGCGTAATTCTCCCTCCCGTGCTGCGGTGCCGCTAAACTTATTTTGCCCTCCTACCGCGCTTCCTGGTTATACTCTTACAGCAGTTTGTTGCAGCAAGCTTCACACAGACATTTTTAAATTATGCTCAGTATTGAAGCGTGGTCTGGGCTACACGCTGTGGGTCTAGATACGGCCGAGGCGGAGAGGAAGTGGGGGCGAGTTTAGTCCGACGACGAAGGGACAATGGGGCAAAAAGAGCGGAGATTCAGCTGGAAAAAGGGTCCCAGCGTTCTCGCGCACCTCGCTCATCTAGCGGGTCAAACTTCACGAGTTGTTTTCCGCAATTTCGGTCATAAAAACAAAACAAGCCGGCCTCCTGTCTGGTGCACTGTTTGCAATCAGCTACAATCTGGGAGAGGTGCAGCGGAGCGTCTCTCAAGGGGGCGGTGACGCAACACTCTGGAGCCTTCTTCTTCTTTTTTTTAATGGCGGTTGGCAAACAACTTATAGGTGCATTACCGCCACCTTCCAGAATGGAGTATGGACCAGACAAACTATTATATTCTCCCTAAAATACCCGTTCTTTCTAGAAAATTAAAAATACTACCAAAAACTACATCCCCAGATGACCTTTGAAACAATTTCCTTATATGTAGTTTATTTTTATTCCTGTCTAACTCTCTACGCAACATCTCTCTTTCCTGAGTATATTTATTACATTCTAAAAAAATATGTTGGACAGTTTCTCTGGAGCCGAGGTATTGCATTGAACTCATTACACTGATATTGTGCAGTATTCTTGCAGTATTTTTTGATGCAACTTTTCTACTTCTGTTATTTGCTGTTGTTTCTAAAGAAAATGCATAATGATATTACAGCTTTCATTGATTTATTTCAAACTTGAAACTTTGTTTAGCCTGTAAGGTGTAAAAAAAATAATAATAATAATAAAAAAAAATTAATCGATTAATCGAATCGAATCGAATCGTGGTGTATTCTTGAGTATCGAAAATAATCGAATCGTTGGGTCAGAAAAATCGATACTGAATCGAATCGCCATGATGGATGTGATCTACACCCCTAATTGTTACACCGAAATCCCATAAAAATTTATGAAATTAATGAAAAAATCCCCCAAAAAATAATGGATTGTTATTATTTTAAATGATCCGCGGAAACCCTGGATCATTTCCGCATGTTTTGCTGCTTTGAATTTAATCATCTCGCGCATGCTCTCTACGATCTCCAAGGGACTCAGAGGGGAGCGGACGGGAGCCACAGTGGAGGCTGTAGGCTTTGCTTTGAGCAGCCGGTCTGGAGCGCAGCGGGGCGGAGCGCTGACGGAGTATGAGGGATTTCGGGGTTAGCATGACATGTTGGTCATGTTGCTGTTAGCATAAACAAAACGTGTTGCACAATGCTTGCACACTGTTGCACTTTTATCCACAACTTTCTTTCCGCCGTCATCGTAGGTCACTCTAAATGCAAAGTGGTCCCATACAGCAGACCTATAAAGTGCTGCTGGCGCATCTTCCAACTCCTGTTCTTTCCCAATCGCACAACTGATTTTTTTCCCTGCTACACCCGGCTACACTGCTGCGCTTCTTCTTCTTGTTTACTACTGGTGGTTGGCTTTGGTCGAAGTACCGCCACCTTCTGCTCTGGAGTGTACACGCTTCCCCTATGAGGAAAAAGGAGCAGCGCATGAACCGAACGAAACACACGCGAATCGAACCGAGACAGTCGAACCGAACGGTTTTGACGGTTTTTATAAACTGTTCCATCCCTAATGGAGCAGGACTGGTGAGAGGTATTTGGAGGGACAAAACAGTGAATCAATAAAGCACAATTTTTGCACCCAGGCTTCCAAACATGTTGCTCTCCATTGTTTACTTTCTCAACTTCTGTTGCACTGGTGACATCAAAGCTAACCCAGCATGATGGTGGCCACAGAGCTTGCCAGTGAGAGGTTAGAAACAGCTTTTTTTGCCAGTGGAAATGGAGCCAAATGCTGTTTGTTTGCGGGTTTGAATAACCCAGTTTAATGTGCTATTTTCAGTGGGAAAGAGGCTTTAGAAAAAGAAGCTAAAGGTAACTGTTAACTAGCTCCACAGGTGGCCCATTGTGGAAAAGATAATAAAAAAAAAACAGGCAGACGTGCTCCGAACCAGCTCTCATGTCAGAGAACAAAAGAGAGCACATACATTTAGTCACAGTAAGAGAAACATGACTACTTTTTTCTCTGGGATGGTTTCACAGTCACACTGGAACAGACAAGATGAAGCTACTTTGACAAGAAAGAGCAGAAAGCACGTATCCTTATCGGTGGAACTTAACAAATACTGCAGAATAGAGGATGAAACTGAATGATGAAAATGGTCCCTATGTCCTCCAGCAGTCTAAGCCCTTAGCAGCATAACTTAAGAGATAGCTAAGGATAACCTGAGCCACTCTAACTATAAGCTTTATCAAAAAATTTTAGGCCTTGCCTTAAAAGTAGACAGGGTGTTTACCTCATGGACTAAAACTGGTAGTTGGTTCAATAAGAGAAGAGCCTGATAACTAAAAGATCTGCCTCCCATTCTAGGAACCACTAGAAAACCTGCAGATTGAGAATAAAGTGCACTGTTAGGAACATAAGAGGTGATCAGATCTCTAGTATAAGATGGAGCTTGGCGATTTAAGGATTTATGTGTGAAAAGGAGGATTTTTAAATTCTAATCTGGATTTAACAGGAAGCTATGCTAATATAAATATGATCTCTGCTTTAAATTTTCATCAGACTTTCTTACTAGATTAGATTACTAGATTAAAAGGTTACAATCGTTTAAGAGCTTTCATTTATAAGCAAACCGATTACAGTATGAAATATGTTTCAAAACTAAATTTGCGAATACCTTTATATTTTAAAATTGTCCATTGATTAATGTTTTTGGGCAGATAAGTGTTATTATGAAACAGCAATGTTTATTCAAAGGTAATCAGATCCTGTATTCTCTAAATAATGTTAAAATAACACATTATTACCCATTTGTTGTGATCTGTTGGGGCTAACTCTTATTACATAAGATTAATGAGAAATTTCCTGATTTAAAAAGCTGTAATTTATTTATCTTTGTATTTATTTATTTTTTTTGTATGCTTTATTATATTAGGTTTTGGAAAAGTACCCTAATACGCCTATGAGCCATAAAGAGATCTTGCAGGTGATCCAAAGAGAGAGGCTTAAAGAAATAAGGTAAACACACATTTTTACATGAAAGCCAGCACTGTACCTGTCTCTCTCTCTTAAATGTTTATTTCATGTGTTGTCTTCTCATTCACTATTAGTTTACTCAATAACCGTTGGGTTTCTTTTTGTTTCATTGTCACTGTTTTCATCCAGAAGGTAAGAGAAAGTAGGCCTCCCCCACCCACCATCCTGTCTTGATAACCTCACCTCATTCCCATATTGGTTCAGATTTAAATTTGCATGTTAAAAATAACATGTAGTAGATTCAATTGCAAAGCGAGAACCCATTACTCACCACATTTATAGTTTTAGTTTGGCACCCTGTATCTTCCTGCTGCATACATGTATGTTTCCATTTCCTCCCATACACATTAAAATAGCCCCTTTTTCATTGAAGGGGGCTCTCAGCCATTACCCAGGATGTGAAAAGCATTCTGGGCATTTCAGTTGAGCTTGAGTGGAGTAATCTCAGATTCATGGGGCCACACTTTCGGGGTAAAAGGTCCTGTTAGGTATAGGACTTTAAGATTACCGCAGTGGCAGAAGAGAGGGGCAAAAACTGATTAAAGTTTGATATATTACAATTTCTATGACAAAATAAACATTTACAATTGTTTAGGGAAGAATAAATTGCTTAAAACTTGGCTATCTGAAGGGTTTATTAAAGTATTGCTTAAATATAAAAGGACTACTGTGTTTTTAATGATGTGTACCCTGCTGCTCTTACAGCCAGCCCTCTTCATTCCAAGGTTTCTTAAAGGAGTATATACACCCAAAACATGATTAGCCTTCATTTTCTACTCACCCCCATGCTGAACAACACCCTGGAGTACTTTTTTGATATCTCAAATGCATCTGGAGATCTGGGAGGCTTCTTGCTGTCTGCTGACATTCAAATAATGGAGGTCTATGGTGCCCGAGACAGAAAGGTCCATAAAAGTCCACAAAAAACGTGTCAATATTCCTCCATACTGCTCGTCCAATGTATTCCAAGTGTCCTGAGTGGGTAGCATCCAGAATTTACTCGAAACGAAGTCATTTAGAATGTTTTTAGAGCATAAACAGTAGTGTATAGGATTTCCTGAAAGCGCGCACATGCGCGATCACGACGCTACGGAAGCCGGCAGACCAAACCAGATGAAAGTACGCATTCAGCGTCTGCTCTGCCGATAATGCAAGCGTAGAAGAAGAAATGTGCCGTTTACCTGTGCAAAGAAAGAAACAACGAAAGAAAAATGTCTGAGGACTTCAGTGTTGAGGAAGAGCATGAGTTCTTTGCCGAGCTGAATGCGCTGGTTTGGTTTGGTCTTCGAGTAAATTCTGGATGCTACCCACTCAGGACACTTGGAATACATTGGACGAGCAGTATGGAGGAATATTGACACGTTTTTTGTGGACTTTTATGGACCTTTCTGTCTCGGGCACCATAGACCTCCATTATTTGAATGTCAGCAGACAGCAAGAAGCCTCCCAGATCTCCAGATGCATTTGAGATATCAAAAAAGTACTCCAGAGTGTTGTTCAGCATGGGGGTGAGTAGAAAATGAAGGCTAATCATGTTTTGGGTGTACTATTCCTTTAATACTGGTCCTCAGGGCCCATTGTCTTACATGTTTTAGGTGTGTATCTGCTTCCCCACACCTAACCTAAATAAAAAGATCATAAACGGGCTTTTGCAGCATACGATGGCTGCCGAATACGGTATTTTCACGACTATAAGGCGCACATAAACGTCTTTTTTTTTCCCTCAAAATGTGCGGTGCGCCCTATGGTGCGGTGCGCCCTATGTGTGTTTCAACTGCGACTTTTGAGACCACCTCATTGAGGAGATGATAAAAGAGTGGCTGAATGTAAGGAGACCAGGTGTTTTTTTTTTCCACTCATCACCATCGCTGTTAATCTGACTCCATGCGTGCCCATCTCACAGCTGATGTGAAAAACATGGTGAAACAAATTAATGCTGTCCTCGCTGTGAACCGGACGCAGCAGGTGCAGCAGAAGCAGCGAGTTTACATGCAAAGTCAACTGTTGACGAGCGTATAGACGCAGCAAAAGGTCCCGCAGCGCGTTTTGAGCAGCAGGCACAGCGCGTCAGGAGCGCGCCGCCAACGCGCTGCTGCTCGAGATGGAAAAATTGAAGTTTTGCTGCTGGAAGCGCCGCTGACAGCGAGACAGACACATCGCTCTGATGACATATGATTTTAAAGCAAATTAAAGGGCTGGATGGATGAGGAGATGATGAAAGCGTGGCTGAGGGAGGTGTAGGCTATGTGAGGAGACCAGGTGGTTTTTTTCCATGCATCACCATCGCTTTTAATATGTGACTCCATGCTTGCCCATCTCACAGCTGATGTGAAAAACATGGTGAAAAAAAATAAACGCTGTGCTCGCCGTTATCTCGGGGGTCTGACAAAGGAACTTCAACCGCTCGACATCGGTGTGAAGCGGCCGTTCAAATTAAGGCTGTGAGCGGCGTGGGAGCGATGGATGACAGACGGAGACCACAGTTTCAGGATAAGTGGAAGGCAGCGCCGGGCAAGTTACGCCACCGTTAGCGGATGGATTGTAGATGCTTGGACTAGTGTCTGCTGGCTCTGTTGTTCAAGCTTTCGCAAAAGCCGGCATTATTTCTGAGGAGCCGCGCTGCACGGAAAGTGACTCTGACAGCGAAGAAGGGGAAACTGGCATGTCTGATTTAGTGCAGCTGTTTAATTCAGAAACAGAGGATGATGACTTTGATGGGTTTGATTAATACTTTGTAATAAATACATGAATAAAGCACAGTCATACTCAGTTTTGCCCCCGCTGTATTTTTAAATACGCAGTAGAGGTATTTAAAGGTAGTAGAGGACATGTACCGGTATATAAAAAACGCGCCCTATAGTCCGGTGCGCCTTATGTGTGTGTTAAATACAGAAATGGGACACATAACTGAGACTGCGCCTTTTAGTACGGTGCGCCTTATGGTCGTGAAAATACGGTAGGTAATTCAGTCTTTTAAATCCGGTGTGCTTGAGTAGAAAAACATCTGAAACATGAAGGATGGAGGCTCCTAAGGACCAGGGGTTAAGAGACCCTGGGCTAGGCTTTATATACTCAGAGAGAAAGTCTGATTTCCAGCACATCATTTTCAAACTCCTGTTGGCTTTCACCAGTAGCAAGCAACCTTGGTTAATTGGAAATCAAAAGTCCCTGGACACTAAATAGTATGATCCGAACATGACTTCCTCTACAGAACCCAATGGATGGTACACTGACTCCAATTGGATGGGTGATCAGCCAAAAACCCCTCTATCTTTCAGAATTAAATGGACCAAATCAGATTAGAATCTTCAGTATGACATATTTACATGAAACTTTGGCCGTTTCTCAATTCACGAGAACGCGAGTACGTACTCGTGTTCTCGTCAAGTCCGTTCTTGGCGAGAACGCAGGAAGATCGGACTTGACGAGAACGCAAGCACGTATGTGTATTGGAACAGAAGCGTACTCGTGACGTCAACACATGCAACGTTCTTTAGCATTTCTTTAACAGTCAAAACTATTTATTCCCTACACAAAACATTTTGAAAACAATATTTTTAATTTCTAAAGCTTAAAAAACATAAAAAGAAATTACCGAACCGCAAAAAACTGCCATCAGAACGAGCGGTAGTTCACACATAACTAGACCGAGAGAAGTGCACTACAGACGGGGTAAATTTAGCCCTGGCTGCGGTTACCCTCGGAGGTCTGCTGGTCACTCTGGTCCGCTCAACGTCGGACTTTTTTTTTTTAATTTCGCACTAACTCTGTAAACAGGCCACACAGGGAGGCTTAAATGTATAATGTTATCGCCTCAAACGATTTCAAAACGTACTTTTGAAGAACAACAGCAGCAGAAAAGGGAATGTTTAACTTACCACTGTGAGCGCTGTCTCGAATCAAGCTGCGGCCGCGGGGCATTCTGGGGAAGCGGTCAGTCTGAAGAACGCACAAGTCTGCTCTGATGCATGCTCGATAAAGAGGGCGGGGCAAGAACAACATCCAGGGATTTGATGCGTTCTCGATCTGGCGTTCTCGAGAATTGGAACGGTACTCGGGCTGAGGCTGATGACGTGTCACGAGTACACGAGCACACAAGAATGCTCAAGAACGCATATTGAGAAACGGCCATTTTTGATCTGATCAGGCCTTCAATCCAATTATTTGTGTCCATGTAAACTTAACTAATAAAATAAAGTTATTGGCAGATATATTTCAGTTAGACGAAAAACTACAGATTCTGGTTATTGCCAGTGTTTTCTCACCTGTCTTGACTTGCATATAAACTTAAGTGATGTCCCGTTCTCAATCTGTGGGTTCAAGATGACTTTTTACCACCTTTTGCAGCTACAGGTGCTGGTCATAAAATTAGAATATCATGAAAAAGTAGATTGATTTCAGTAATTCCATTTAAAAAGTGAAACTTGTATATTATATTCATACATTACATACAAACTCATATATTTCAGATGTTTATTTTGTTTAATTTTGATGATTACAAATGACAACAAATGAAAATCTCAAATTCATCATATCAGAAAATTAGAATATTACTGAAGACCAATAAAAACAAAGGATTTATAGAAATGTTGGCCAACTGAAAAGTATGAACATGAAAAGTATGAGCATGTACAGCACTCAGTATTTAGTTGGGCCTCCTTTGGCCTGTATTACTGCAGCAATGCGGCGTGGCATGGAGTCGATCAGTCTGTGGCACTGCTCAGGTGTTATGATAGCCCAGGTTGCTCTAATAGTGGCTTTTAGCTCTTCTGAATTGTTGGGTCTGGTGTATTGCATCTTCTTCTTCACAATACCCCATAGATTTTCTATGGGGTTAAGGTCAGGAGAGTTTGCTGGCCAATTAAGAACAGGGATACCATGGTCCTTCAACCAGGTACTGGTAGCTTTGGCACTGTGTGCAGGTGCCAAGTCCTGTTGGAAAATGAAATCTGCATCTCCAAAAAGTTGGTCAGCTGCAGGAAGCATGAAGTGCTCTAAAACTTCCTGGTATGTGGCTGCGTTGACCCTGGACCTCAGAAAACACAATGGACCAACACCAGCAGATGACATGGCACCCCAAACCATCACTGACTGTGGAAACTTTACACTGGACTTCAAGCAACGTGGATGAAGTGCCTCTCTTCTTTTCCTCCAGACTCTGGGACCTTGATTTCCAAAGGAAATGCAAAATTTACTTTCATCAGAGAACATGACTTTGGACCACTCACCAGCAGTCCAGTCCTGTTTCTCTTTAGCCCAGGCAAGACGCTTCTGACGCTGTCTGTGGTTCAAGAGTGGCTTGACACAAGGAATGCGACAGCAGAAACCCATGTCTTTCATACGTCTGTGTGTGGTGGTTCTTGAAGCACTCACTCCAGCTGCAGTCCACTCTTTGTGAATCTCCCCCACATTTTTGAAGGGGTTTTGTTTCACAATCCTCTCCAGGGTGCGGTTATCTCTCTTGCTTGTACACTTTTTTCGACCACATCTTTTCCTTCCCTTCGCCTCTCTATTAATGTGCTTGGACACTGAGCTCTGTGAACAGCCAGCCTCTTTAGCGATGACCTTTTGTGTCTTGCCCTCCTTGTGCAAGGTGTCGATGGTCGTCTTTTGGACAACTGTCAAGTCAGCAGTCTTCCCCATGATTGTGTAGCCTATAGAACTAGACTGAAAGACCATTTAAAGGCTTTTGCAGGTGGTTTGAGTTAATTAGCTGATTAGAGTGTGGCACCAGGGGCCATCAATTTCTAACCTTTTCACAATATTCTAATTTTCTGATATGATGAATTTGAGATTTTCATTTGTTGTCATTTGTAATCATCAAAATTAAACAAAATAAACATCTGAAATATATGAGTTTGTATGTAATGTATGAATATAATATACAAGTTTCACTTTTTAAATGGAATTACTGAAATCAATCTACTTTTTCATGATATTCTAATTTTATGACCAGCACCTGTATAACAGCTTTAGTTCTTCTGGAAAGTTTGTCCAAAAAGTTAATTTTCATGTAAAATTTTTTGACTCTTCTTCCTGAATCCTGTTGGTGAGATCATTGACTGATGTTGGATGGCAAAGCCTGGCTTTCACTTTCCATTCTAATTCAACCACACGGTGTTCTGTCAAGTTGTGGTCATAACTCCTTGCAGGCCAGTCAACCTCACCCATACCAAACTTTCTCATTCATGTCTTAATGGTCCTTAGCTTTTATACTGAAAGAGTTATGTTGGAAGAGAAAGGGGCAATCCACTAAGTGGAATTGTCCAAAATCTCTTGGGTTCTAAAGCATATAGTTCCTTTTACTTTATTAAGAGAGTAAGCTCAGCTCTGAGCTAACCCTAACCCTACCTCCATCATGCTTAACAATTACCTATTATCTGGCATCCTCTGAACTCGGACGTGTCCATATTATTCCAATAGTCCAATATTGTCACTCCAGAAAATGCTTGAGCTAATCTGAGGGCTTTGGAGGTCTGTAGTTATTGACCACAGAAAGTTGACAACTTCTTTGCAGGTCAACAAATGCTGCTCTGTCAGTTTTTGGTCCCTGCGTCTTTGTGGGTTCATTGCTTTCATTCCCAATCACCTTCACTTTAAAGGAATAGTACACCCAAAACATGATTAGCCTTCATTTTCTACTCACCCCCATGCTGAACAACACTCTGGAGTACTTTTTTGATATCTCAAATGCATCTGGAGATCTGGGAGGCTTCTTGCTGTCTGCTGACATTCAAATAATGGAGGTGCGCTGGTTTGGTCTGCCGGCTTCCGTAGCCTCGTGATCGCACATGTGCGCGCTTTCAGGAAATCCTATACACTACTGTTTATGCTCTAAAAACATTCTAAATGACTTCGTTTCGAGTAAATTCTGGATGCTACCCACTCAGGACACTTGGAATACATTGGACGAGCAGTATGGAGGAATATTGACAAGTTTTTTGTGGACTTTTATGGACCTTTCTGCCTCGGGCACTATAGACCTCCATTATTTGAATGTCAGCAGACAGCAAGAAGCCTCCCAGATCTCCAGATGCATTTGAGATATCAAAAAAGTACTCCAGGGTGTTGTTCAGCATGGGGGTGAGTAGAAAATGAAGGCTAATCATGTTTTGGGTGTACTATTCCTTTAAGACACCACTCACAGTTCTTGGTGGGATATTTAAGAGCAAAGAAATCTTACGATCTGACTTGTTGCATAAGTGGCATCCAATCACAAAACCAATCTGAAAGTCATGTAGCTCGGTAGAGCTACCAGTTATTTAGCAAATGTCTGTAAAAATAAATGAATAGATATTTGATTTTATATATCTGTGGCCATGGATCTGATTGGAACATCTGATTTCACATATTTGGATGGGTGAGCAAATATTTAATGCAATATTAATGTGTATTTGCTTTATTTCAATATTTAATTTGGTTTAGGTGAGATTAAACTCATAAGGCGATGCCTGAATTTCTCATTAGTGCTTCACGATGGACTGAAGGCATTTTGCAATTTTCTTGACACCTTCCTTCAAATGTCATTAGGATTATTTCAATTAATTACCTACCAACTTTCAGAGCATTGGAAACATAAAGCACAGAAATTATCTGAGATCCTTTTTACCTGAAGTAGAAAATTTTTTTTTCTTTGGAAAAGGGGCTATGATCCATCTTCAGCTCACCTGTTTCTATCTTCACTCTGCTTAGAGTTTTTCAGTAGTCGTAAAAGTTAGCTTTGCTAAAATGCAAGTTCAGATATAACATTTTCTTTAAATTTTTATATGATTAATTTACTCATAATGCAGTTAGTTTATATTGATGATTAACTCTTAAGTGCGATTTATACAAAGGTCCTATGTGAAATGCAGGGCAGATTTCCTACGCTCTTTGATGTGTTTCTGATCCAAACTATCTCAGCCCCTTATGCATGAAAACACTTTGTCTTCAGACGTTTGATAAGACTTCTTCAATTATTATTATTATTTTTTTTTCCGATAGCTGCTTGAGGTATTGAAGACAACACTTATGATTATATGTTCTCTCCCCTGAACCAGTGGAACCTCACCCCTGGCATGTCTGAATGCTATGCTGCACACAAACTCCCGTGGTGAGGAGGGGATCTTCTACAAAGTTCCAGGCAGAATGGGAGTCTACACATTAAAGGTTAGTTACACACCAGACGGTTTGCAGAATGTGTTCGGTCCACTTTAAAAGGACCACACCAGGGTTTCCACGGATTATTAAAAATCATTAGAAGTCATTAAATTATTCTTTTTTAAATCAAGGCCTGAATTGGCATTACATTTCATTAAATGTGATTATTGTGGCATATAATGCTTAAAAAAAAAAAAAAAAGTTTATAAAAACAATTTCGTCAGATATATCGCAATATATTTGCACAATACTGCTTCCGGTTGATCGTAAAGCCGTATGTTCGGAAAAGAAGCTCGAAGCGGAAAAAAAGCTAGAGAATGGGAAAAGGCTAATTTCAACAACAGTGGCTGGAAAACCAGGAATTTGGGACAAGGCTGCAGCCTGTCAACGGTAGAGATGATGAAGGATTTTACCGCGGGTACATATGAGAGTCATGGGTACTTGTTGATGGCATTAAAATTATTTCTAAGAGCATTAAAAAGCATTAGAGTTACTTATTCCTGTATAAACCCTGCAGACCAGACCAAACAAGCAGTGTGAGAGGATGAGAAGGGATGGTCACTGATGTGGCTCCAAACACCAAAAGCTTTTGGCTCTTTTCCCATTCGACCGAAAGGCCTGGTCTAACCCCCTGCTGGAAGGCTGCATGGCCAATGTCCGCCACCACTGCGTGTCTGATGACGGCATCGCACTGGGTGAGCGTTGCTAATGTCGACAGGTGATGGAAATCTGTGAAGTAAATAGTGGAGCGCAAAATGGACAGGATCCAGAGCTCAAACGGTGCCTGAAACCTGATGACGAATCTCCTCTTCTCCGTGGATTATAAGGAGCTCACAAATCTCTCTATCTTGCTAGTGCTGTGGCATATTTCTTGCATGCAAGCCGAGTTGTTTGGGCTTGCAATCGGTGCAATCTGTAACGTCCGTAAGTCAACCCGGGTCTGGTGTTCCCACTGCACGCTGTTCAGAGTCCAGGCGATTTTAACGCATGTCGTTTGCTGAGTCGTTTGACCCGGATAGACACTCTTCAGTGAGCTGTTCCCACGGCTACTGAAAGCCGTTTGTTCCCGGGTTTAAACGAATTTTTGGGCCAGTGTGAAAGGGGTATAAGGATGCATTCACGCCAAACGCAGTGTCTGCAGCAAAAGCAGTGGATTTACATTGTATCTCTTTGCAAACCTTGCTTCCAAGAGCAGTGAAGCTGCCAGCGTTTAATTCAGGTCACTTCTGTCTCTCTTCTTGTCGTGGCAACCAATCATGGACTGGTTGCAATCGTGACGTGGGTGGAAGAGATTATAACTGAACCAGAGAAAGTCGTGAATACTTCATGTAATATAAATGTCTATATGTTACACTTTCAGAGCAACCATTGATCTAATCGCTTCTGACATTTACTTTGAGTAGATTGTAGCTAAATGAGATATATGCTCTATTGAGCAATGTTACTCATCAGAAATTTTGGGGGGGGTATGTAAAGGTTAAGATTCAGACAATGATACAATAATCAGCTGCTGTGAATTCTTCTCTGTCTCTGTGTTTGTTAAATTACTAAACCCCTTTACAGTGTTTGCCGTCTTCAATGGTAATTCTCCTGTTCTTCTTCTGTTGGGTGACTGGATCTTCTTCTTTCTAGACACAGAAGGACATCTCAGAGGTGGTGAAAAAGCTGTCAGGGGAGGGCTCTGATGAGATCAGTGACAATCTGTCGGATTCCCGAAGCTCAGAGAACAGCAGCACCGTTCCTCCAGAAGCCAGGAGAGGCAGGTGGATGCGAAGAGGTAGCATTAAGCTAAAAGTCTACAAATGTTTTCAATATAATTTCAGTGTGCAATTTCCTCAGCATAAAATGTTCAAGCAGATCAATGAGTATCTCAGTTGCACTGAATTTAGAAGTTTACTTAAACTACACCTTTTACTTTAACTCTTGATCACATAAGAATAACAGCTTTTATTTATTATTGCTGCCCAGTTGCTGTTTTTAGAAATACACTAAGTTTTAAAATAAGCCGTGTCTGAATCATCACACAGCTCGTTATTTATCTGTTTTAGCTGATTGGACACTGAGGTCTCTCATGTCAATAGGCGTTAACGCCTCTTCTCATCTGTTAGGCTTTGTTGCTTAAACACAGGAAGCCAGCTTTTCTCAATACAAGTGGCTCCTCAAGGCAGTTAGGTTAGATCTTTTTATATTTGTCTGGAATACACTGAGCATCCAACATGATAGAAAAAGGTGGGTTTCTTTTTAACTTGAGTTGCTTATAAATTGTTCCACGTTCAGCAGCAGGTAAAACATTTACATGCATTTTAACTCCTATGTTTTTCTCTCTTTTTTTGTTGTTTTTTTTTTGCTTTTTTAGGATCTGCTTTATTGGGATATTTATGTGATTAAGAGGAATTTTAGAGATAGCCTTTTTTGTTGCTAAGTGGGGATTATTTAGTGTATTTCTACTTGAACATTTCAAGCGACTGTTGAAACAGGAAACAGAATTTTCTCAGTGTAACCCGTGATTACTTCCTCATTATGCATGAGCCTAAAGCTGCCCTGAAATGAGCTACGTTTACAGCTGAGTAGGAGATCTGATGTTTTGTTATTGAGCTAATCTAAAGAGGTCAAATGTTGAAACAGCAGGGATGAGTAGAAAAGCTGTTTACCTGTCGGACAAAGAGAGCTTAATAGAAACTGCTGAAAAGTTCAACCCATTTTTCACTAAGTGATATCTTATATAGGTAATGTAATCTCCCTCTTTGTGCAAATGATTGGTTTCAGTTTCATCAAAACAGCCCAGTTTGATTGTTTGCATACTCACCTCAGGAAATATAGGTTTGTGACGTCCTTTTTTCGCCTTTCCTGTTTTAAAGTCCCCTCCAAGCTGCAGTCACAGCCGTCATCTCCACAGCCACAGTGCTCATCGCCTCCTGTCTCCTCCAGCAAGCTCATCTCTCCCTCTCAGAAGCACAGCAAGAAGGCACTTAAACAGGTATGCTTAAGTTCTGACTTTAATTTGTTACCAAGCAATGGCTTGTTTCTTAAAAAAAACTTTCTCACCACTGTTTTACTTGTCACCGATGTGACATGAGTTTCTGCCGCACCCTGTTCTTGTTTTTTGGCCCCTAAAAATATCTTACCGACCATCCCACTGCTTTAAGCGTAAATCCACCCAGGGTAGGCATTGATATATATTTACAGCGCTAACATATGTATTGAACGTGTGACTGTTTTTCATAGTAAACATTTTTCTAATATTTCTTGACATGAAATTTCCGTAAGGTGTTGTTAACAACAATTTAAGATATTTGGATCTTCTAACAAATGAGAGCCACCCACCTCCTCTCTATCCCTTTGGATGGCAGTATGAAGAATAATCTAAGTTGTGTGTCACGACTAAAGGAGGTTTGAGTCATTTTAGAAAAGCTGTACGTATCAGTGTAGTTAAGCCAAACCTGAGTTAATGTGATGAGTAGGGGTGTAAATAATAATCGTTTTGTATCGATGCATCGATCCAACAGCCGACGAACCGATGCATCGTTATGTCCGCAAGAGTATCGATTCATGTTTTTTTTCCCCTCCGGTCTATTTTTATCCATTTGCTCCTGGGCGTAATTCTCCCTCCCATGCTGCGGTGGCGCTAAACCTATTTTGCCCTCCTACCTCGCTTCCTGGTTATACTCTTACAGCAGTGTGTTGCAGTGAGCTTGATGCAGACATTTTTGATTTATGCTCAATATTGAAGCGTGGTCTGTGCTACACACTGTGGGTCTAGATACGGCCGAGGCAGAGAGGAAGTGGGGGCGAGTTTAGTCCAACGACGGAGGGACATGAGGGCCAAAAAGAGCGGAGATCCAGGTGGAAAAAGGGTCCCAGCGTTCTCGCGCGCCTCGCTCTTCTAGCGGGTCAAACTTCACGAGTTGTTTTTCACAATTTCGGTCATAAAAACAAAACAAGCCGGCCTCCTGTCTGTGGCACTGTCTGCGGTCAGCTACAATCTGTTATTTGCTGTTGTTTCTCAAAAAAAATGTATAACGATATTACAGCTTTCATTGATTTATTTCAAATTTGAAACATTGTCTAGCCTGTAAGGTGTAAAAAAGAAAAAAGAAAAAAAAGAACCAATTAATCGAATCGAATCGTGGTGTATTCTTGATTATCGAAAATAATCTAATCGTTGTGTCAGGAAATCGGTACTGAATCGAATCGCCATGATGGGTGTGATTTACACCCCTTGTGATGAGACTGCTAGATGTAAATTCAATTATCCAATACACCTTATACATTATAGGAAACGTTTGATTTAAACATGTATACTGATGGTCTTTTTGCATTTTGTATCGTTTCTCAGTTTTATACTTTGATGCATTAAATCTGTTTCAAATACAACCTGTCTGTTCCTTGGAGGAACTTGTGCAGGAAAATAGTTTAGCTTGCTGGGAATCTCAGTGTAGGAAACAGGGTCACAACAGTCCACTAAAGAAACATTTAAAGGTTAAAAAATGTTCCCATAGTTTTTCTTTTAAGTAAATAATAATTGTGTTTGTTTGGTTAAAAAGATCTTGTAAAAAATGAGGGGACTTTATCATTTGCTCACAGGTTTGTTTGTTTTTTTTGTATTTGGTGTGTGTATATTGTTGCTATGGCAATAGGGAACTGGTTTAGAGAGAGTCTACTTTTCTGCTGCTGGCAAACTGCTTCCAGTAAGAGCTGAATAGGAAACTTCAAGTTATCTGTAAGTTTGTGAAAAGCAAAGTGAATATTTGAACGCTTTTTTATTCTCGTTGAAGTTATGTGACTGCGTATGTAATCAATAGGGCTCGGGATCCGCGTTGCATTGTGGGACGTGGTGGCCATATTGAGGGCTACGCGAACGTAAACATAGCTCTGATACAACGTTGTTGTTGAAAGAAGAGACATAGAAGTAGAGAGAAAAAAGATGTTAAAATCCCGAAAAGGATCTGGAATTTACCGGGACACATTAAATAGAGAAGCCACGGACAGGTATGTTGACAAAATCAGCATTATTAATAATTTGGATCCAAATGAAGTTCCAAACAATGAGTGGAGCACCGATGAGTGAGCGCCTATACTTCAAAACAGTTCCGAAGATACAAGTCCTTGGAGTCTCATGTGCAGTTCATGAATGGATGGGTTCAGGAGCTGCAGATCATAAAGCCAGCAAACAGTGGGGACACACTAATCCGTACGAAGGTAAGCTGTGATCAGACGGGCTCTGGAACCTGCTAGTTTAGCAACTGCTAACCGCTAATGCTAACAACCACTCACGCATGTAATGTACTTTTAACTAGCTGCTATGTATTTCAAAGGTGTAGTTAGTAACGTTAACTGCCAACCCTCCCTAAACTCTCCGGGTTTCTCACGTATTTGAGCCTTTTCCCGCTTTTTGCCGTTTTTTTTATTTTCCTGTAAAAGATCCCAACCTTGAAGGAAAGAAACAAAGTAGGCTATAAAATTAAACTGTGCATCTTTAACTTACCAGAATGAAAATGCAGGGAACACACTCTCAATGACATCGGGATACTGTGGAAAGTTATGTTCGGTCGTCTTACATCCTCGATCCAAGCTAGCCGACGACTCTTTATCTCTGACGTTTGGTCTCTGTGGTTGCTCCTCCAGGCAGGAAAGCGGTGGAAAGTTAACCCATTTTCTATGTTTTTCCCATGGCGATCATGTGTTGAGCTGTTACAGCCCACAATACAGCAACGGTTTACCATGGTTGAAATCAAGTTAAGGTGAAATTAATCAAATTAAAACACGGCTCAGAGGGAGTACAGTATGCGGTAGTCATAGGCAGTAGTATGAGCAGCGGTAAAAGAGGCATTCAAGATGGCGGCCACGCAAAGTGCTTACGTCATGACGACCAAGCCCTATATGGGACATTATCGCACCTTGGTAATATATTATTTATGTTAATGGTTTTTTTTTTGCTGTCTATAAGCATCACAGTATGATTACATTTGCTTGGCATCTTTCTGTCAGTTTTGATGACAGAAGTGGTGCATTTAAGTAGCAGTTCTGAAGAACTAAAGAAGAAAAAGTCAAAGAGCATAAGGTCTGTGCTTGGTCACGGACACTTTAAAGGAATAGTACACCCAAAACATGATTAGCCTTCATTTTCTACTCACCCTCATGCTGAACAACACTCTGGAGTACTTTTTTGATATCTCAAATGCATCTGGAGATCTGGGAGGCTTCTTGCTGTCTGCTGACATTCAAATAATGGAGGTCTATGGCGCCCGAGGCAGAAAGGTCCATAAAAGTCCACAAAAAACGTGTCAATATTCCTCCATACTGCTCGTCCAATGTATTCCAAGTGTGCTGAGTGGGTAGCATCCAGAATTTACTCGAAACTAAGTCATTTTGAATGTTTTTAGAGCATAAACAGTAGTGTATAGGATTTCCTGAAAGCGCGTTCACGAGTCTACGGAAACCGCGGCAGACCAAACCAGATGAAAGTGCGCATTCAGCGTCTGCTCTGCCGATAATGCAAGCGTAGAAGAAGAAATGTGCTGTTTACCTGTGCAAAGAAAGAAACAACGAAAGAAAAATGTCTGAGGACTTCAGTGTTGAGGAAGAGCATGAGTTCTTTGCCGAGCTGAATGCGCACTTTCATCTGGTTTGGTCTGCCGCGGTTTCTGTAGCGTCGTGAACGCGCTTTTAGGAAATCCTATACACTACTGTTTATGCTCTAAAAACATTCTAAATGACTTCGTTTCGAGTAAATTATGGACGCTACCCACTCAGGACACTTGGAATACATTGGACGAGCAGTATGGAGGAATATTGACACGTTTTTTGTGGACTTTTATGGACCTTTCTGCCTCGGGCGCCACAGACCTCCATTATTTGAATGTCAGCAGACAGCAAGAAGCCTCCCAGATCTCCAGATGCATTTGAGATATCAAAAAAGTACTCCAGAGTGTTGTTCAGCATGGGGGTGAGTAGAAAATGAAGGCTAATCATGTTTTGGGTGTACTATTCCTTTAAACTATAGGATATCCTTGGATCCAAAGCATTTCATTGTGAGTCTGGCTGTATGCTGCTTGAAGATCAACCTATAAGTTTCAGGTTTTTTTTTTTTTTTGCTTTGTTTGGTTGCCATGGATTTAGCTTTATCTATCTTTATATATCAGCTCTGAATTGGTCCTTGTTCATTCAACAAATTTTCTTCAGCCTTGGATTTTTTTGTTGTTGTTTTTGTAAATAAGCTACTCTTAAATTATACCCACTTAACATGTGACTTTTGGGGGCAGTTGGTTGCATTTTCACTTCAGAATATCAGGGGATGAGATGAACACAAATGTATATCCTACTGCACAGATTTATACTAGATAAAATAAATGGAATAAAAAGGAAAGTGTATTTTGACTTTAGAGATATTAAATGCTTTGTGTTGTAATAGATACATAATTTTGGCATGAATGTCAACACCCAGGTCTTGCATTTTTCATTAGTTGCTGTGTGAAAGTTATACCAAGTTAGAAGCTGTAGAACATCACAATGTTGATCTTTTGAAGCTGAGATAAATTCACTTAATTCTGTTGACATGAAGACCAGATTAAATGCATTGTATTTTCTAGTGTTATAACTTATTTAGGTGGTGTTTTATGTTGTAGGAGGCCCTGGGGAGAAGTTTAAAAAAAACATAGGATAACAAGGATTTGACTTTTTTTCTTAAACTATTCAGTTTTTACTTCTCCCTCTTTGTTTTTTTTATAGGCCTTGAGGCAGCAGCAGCAAAGGAGTCAGCGCAGACAGGGTGGCATGCCCGCCATCTCCAGTTCCAGGCTGCTACTAAAGACCATCAAAGACATGGCAGAAAACATTACAACAAAGAGTGGTAGGTCGCAGCTATCATTCTGTCACATAGCACACAGATTTACATTACTACTTGATAAGTAGGTACTCTTCTGTGTTTTGCACCATGTTTCATTTCATACAGTTATACATTTTCTGGAATTAGTGTAATGCTTCTCCTGGATGTCATTTTTTTTCTATTGTCTTTTCAGTCCCGTACAAACATGTATTAAGTAATTTATTGTTTAACTTAGTATTTTTACTTGTTTAGATGATTGCCACAGCTTACACAACTCATTTTAATGTATTTATATTAAGGTTTCCATGGTTTCTTAAAAGTTTGCGATGTGGAAAAAATTATAAATTCAAGGACCTGGAAAGTTCCTTAAAGCAGCCATAAAGACACCTGCCTTGGAAGTACATGATTTTTTGTTGGGATTTGAAGTTTTATGCAGATGACAATTGCTGTAGCATTATCGTCTATTTATTCCGCAAAGTTAGACACATTTGTGTGCGCCATCTTCTCTCAGGTGAATAGATGGATGCAATGTGAAAAATTTTGGAAAATGAAAATTTTAGGATGCTTTGCAGAGTAGCTGAGCAGACGACGAGAAATTGACAATCTGCCAGTTGCAGAGCCTGCTTTACACCGATCAGTGGAGAACATAAGCAAAGCTGCATTGTCCAGCCGTACTAATCATCATGCAGGGTTCCCGCGGGTCCTTAAAAAGTCTTAAAAGGCATTGAACTCTTCAAAATACAACTAAGGCCTTAGATGGTATTAAAATGTCTTAAATCAGTCTTTCGTAGGTCTTAATTTTTAAAACATCATAAATAGGATTATTTATATTAGGATTAATTTTTTTAATCTAAAAAAAATTTTAAAATTTACAATTTTATTTATTTTTTTTATAAAAAAAAATAACGACTCGCCATTATTGGTTCCGTCCCGATACGGGAACCAATAAAGCGTTGTTGCGGCCGGGACATTTGGGAGATGCACCATTAACTTTTTGTCTGGATAATATGAGCAAGTGTAAATGTAACCAAAATTGTCTCCAGCCAAGAGTTTTCTCCATGGCTAAAACCAGGGAACATACATGAGGCTCAGTGAATTTTGTGCAAGAAGCGATTCAAGTTCGGAACGATGGGAATTAAGGCAGTGGAGTCGCATGCGAAGCGCAAAACACAAAGCGTTAAAATGGAGTTACAGAGAAACAGCCGGTATTTCTCAGTTTAGTTCCACCCTTGTCTCTGCAACGCCTCCACTTATCACCAAATCAAACATACTAAGAAAACCATACAAAGAAAAATAGCTGCAAAAAAGACTTAGCACTGGTTATGTTGGGGCTTTAAAACTGATTTGTTTTGTTCCCTGCTAAAACAAAGTTTGTGAATTCAGTTAAATAATTGTTAAAATATATCCGTCATTTGTGTGTTTTTAGCTTTCTTCCTGTATGCGAAGCTTTTCAATATTTGACACATTAGTGCAGTGGTTTATGTTAAAATAAACCTTTGGGTTAAGTTGTCGTAAGCGGGTTTTTCTTGTGAATTTGGTCTTAAATTTTTATTTCAAGTGGCATTAAAATGTCTTAAAAAGTCTTGAATTTAACTTGCCTTATGCTGTAGGAACCCTGTCATTACAAAAATGCGTTTTTATGAGTCTTTGTCTTTAATTTATTACTTAACTTTCTTGTACGATTCTCCAAAAATAATGATTAAAGTCTCAATATGTGGTGGTAGCCCGATACTTGTTGGTATTCTTTAGCTGATTAATTTTAACTCTGATATGATTAGCTTCCCTTCTGAAAAAAAAAAGCGCTGCTGCGTCAAATCTACTATTTGAACAATATAGAACTCCATGGTTCTATATTTTATGATGCAAAGAAAACAGTGCTCTGCTGTTTGATTTCTCTGAGGGTGTCAAATTCTAAATGTATTGTTGCTTGCAGGCTCGGTTCTTACAATAAAAGATGATATTGATGCATCTTAGTCTCACTGCAGAGTTTGGCTTAAAATAAATGACATATTGATTGAGGTTTAGCTTGTTATTAAATTCAAAGCTAGGCCTACATTTAAATTTATGCCGAGCATACTATAATATACTATTTATCTATGTCACCATGACATTAGTAGGTTTGATTCAGGAATTGCATAGTGTTAAATATGCATTTAGGGATTCAAGCTAGTTCGGTTAGCCCTGATATCTGCAGCCTGAAGAATAAATAAGATCATTTGTGAATGAAAATGTTTAAGCAGAATGGTTTGCAGTATAAAACTAACACCAGTGGAAATATGATTCTGAACAAGCACAATTTAACCTAAAATTACATCAAATATATACATTAGTCCTTGATGTGTGTCTCAGGGATATATCTAGTGATGTCCAGATTGTATTGAGGCTTGTGTCTCTGGTATATCGCAGTCCTCCAGCCAAACCCACTGTGGAGGCTAAGAGACACAGCTAGGCCTCCAAATTTATAATTTTGGAAACATGGACTTTAAAAAGTCCTTGAATTCAATTTTATCAAAGGTTTTTAAACCCTGACGTATTTACCATTTTTTACCATTAATTTGTCCTGCAAATTCACCAAGTTTTTCTATGTTCTGTCCAAGCAGATTTGTGCCACCCTGTTGTGCCCAGAAAAGTCCCCCAAAGGTCTGGTCGTCTCAGTGCAGGTGGGTCAAACAGGAGGTAGTGTTAGATTGTTGTTGATTTTGTTGTTTTTTTAGGTTTAGGAACCACTGAACTGGTTCAATAGTCTATCAGTTATAACCCAACTGTAATAATTTTGGTGCTGTTGAAGACATTTTCTACAAACTGTAGAAGCCATATGATCAAAACAGATTTATATTTGGGTCTCTAACCTCTTGTAAATATAATAGATCAGAGGACAGAATCTGTCTGATGGCTGTAAAAAGTTAAATTGTACTTTTTAATAATCTGAAATAATCTTATACCTTTAAATAAACAAAAGCACCAAACTAAATCAAACTCTTGCTTTAGTAAATGTTTACAGTAATTATTCATTTTAGACTTATAAAGTTTCTGCATTAATAGGAAAACAATACAACTTTGGTTGATTTAGAAAATACCCCTGAAATTCTGCTTTGTTGGAATCCTCTTGTCTCACATCCATTTCCTGTTTTGTGTTAAAGGGCAAATAAAGCGTACAAAGTGTAAAATAGACGTGGAGACGCCAGACTCCATTTTGGTAAACACCAACCTGAGAGCACTCATCAACAAGCACACCTTCTCAGTGCTGCCTCCCGACTGCCAGCAGAAGTTGGTCAAACTCCTGCCTGAAGTCGACCGACAGGTGGATTTTACATTATATATCCACTTTATACCTCTGTAGCATGAAAATAACTGATAGCACAAAGTGTAGAGATGAAACACATCTGTTTTCCTTGTTATTGATTCAAATGAAAGAGTGCAGCAGTCTTATATAAGGTAGAAGTTTTGGTCAAAGCTCTGAATCTACTTCAATCTGCAGTCAGCGTTCCAACGCAGTGATGGTGATTAGTCATCACATTGTGCCTTTTCACTGCAGGTTTGCTTGGACGGCCTTCTGAAGGTCACCAGCTCTGCTTTAAACAATGAATTCTTTGCATCGGCAGCACAGTCTTGGAAGGAGAGGCTGGCTGAAGGTTAGTTGCTTGGCTCCCAGGTGATATCAGCATTCATTCTTATATAAAGACAAATTCTGTCTCCAAGGTGAACTTGTGCTTTTTTATATATATATATATATATATATATATATATATATATATATATATTTTTTTTTTTTATGAAATAAAAGAAAACAACTAACCTTCTCCTTTTGCAGGGGAATTCACACCTGAGCTGCAGCTCCGCATGCGCCAGGAAATTGAGAAGGAAAAGAAAGTTGAGCACTGGAAGGAGGCTTTCTTTGAAAATTATTATGGGGAAAAGTACGTTCTCTAACATTTATATTGCTCATATTTAGACAATTATCAAATCCAATGTGGATTTGATTGTTTGGGGAATGTCTGTTTTTTAATGAGTTCCAACCAAGATTCTTTCCTTCACACAAACGCTACATTCAGATTGCACAAGTTAAGTTCTGACGCGCAGCTGAAGCATCCTTGCGGCACGGTCTAGAACTGGGTCTGATGTTTGTTGGGCGGAGCTACATTATCCTTTCTTCACCGATAACAATGGCGGATCAAATCAAAAGAGTCGCTTGGCATATTTTAATGAATAACGCTACGTTACGTACGTAGCAAGGACTGGAAGCAGCAAAAATGCCTCTGCTGCTTCATTTTTATGCTTGTCCACATTAAGGTCAGACATCCAGTAAAGTGTCCAGATGCGTCTGATGCTTCTGCTCCTCGTGTGTTCAGTGGCAGAGAGCAGCTGTTATAAGCTGGTAAAAAGTAGTTTTAATATATTTTTAAGTGAGAAAGTCCATCTGAAAACTTCACCTGTGTTGTCTGTGAATCAAGATTACGATCCTGCCTTCAAATATCATTCCGCTGTCGGGGCCGCTCAGACCCCTGTACACCGGCAGAGCGCTGTCTCTGGAAATTCCGTTCAACGCCAGCCTCTGGCCCAAACTTTAAGCAGGAGAATTCTAAATCGAGCATATTTTGCCAGCAGGTTTTGACATTTTAAGTTAATTTAGGCGTTATTAAACTGTTTCAGGGGAGTGCTCATAGCAAACTGCATCAGCAGCCAGTCCCTAGATCAGCTTCTCTGACTGGTTCATGTAGCATGCTGAGCAGCAAAACTTAAAATTTTTCCAACTCTAGCAGCTGCTGCTTTTGCAGCTCGCCGCACATGTAGGATGCTCAGAAACTCATGATGCGCTGCTCATGTCACTCAAAACGCGCTGCCGGACCTTTTGCTGCGCCTTGATGCGCATCAACCATTGACTTTGCATGTAAACTAGCTGCTTCTCCTGCCTCTAGCGCGTGAGGTCTGAATGTAGCATGATGAAAATCATTTAAGAAAAGTAACGGCAGATGCCAATTCATTATCTAATACTGGACTTCTTGAAGCACCAATTTGTATGTAAAGCACCAAATAATCATTCAAGCTATTTCTATCAGTGTACAATAGACCTCTTAGTGGCTTTAAAGTTGAAAGCGCTTTAAATCGTCTCTCTTTACCTCAGTAGCAGGCATGGATCACATGCTCATATTTAGGGTAAAAATAGGCTTTTATTATTGGTACACACTGCCTGTGAGCTGGTTGGAAAAAAAACTGACCAGTTTGGTTATTTGCAGGTTGTAGTTTTTCCTTTCAGATTAAAAGCAGGAGTAATATCTTTCACAATAAGAGCCTAAACTGACATAACCAGCACCAGCTGTTGGGCTGATCATTTATACTTATTTTTGTGTAGGTCAGAGTGCCTGTTGATGATAATTTCTTTTGTTTGTCATAGCATTTGTACATTACAGAAGAGTTAGACCTCTTTATTTACTTATACCCCTTTCTCTCTTGCCGGAAAACCTGTTTAAACCCGGTAATAATTGGCTTTTAGTGGCAGTGGGAACAACTCACTGACTGACCCTGTCTACCAGGGTCAAACGACTCGGCAAGCGACCTGCGTTACAATCATTTCAGCTCTGATCAGCATGCTGTGGGAACACCGGAACCGGGTTGACGTTCTGAATTATGTGATACTATTAAACGCTACGTGTGGACGTCGGCACACTGCGCCAGCCATGTCTGATCTAACAAACCGAAACGACTGTTTACATTCCTTAAACATGGCGCAGCGCCTGTAGAAGGGATTCGGGCAGATAAAAGACCGACGATATAATGCACACTTACTATGCCCTGGCTTTCTTAAATGTTGCTCTCGATTGTTTACTTTCCTCATTTTCTGTCACATCGGTTACATGATCAACCCTAACACAGCGGGATGGTGTCAGCAGACATATAGCAGTGGGGAGACGGATGCCGTGCGTCTTGCCAGCGAGGGGTTATACACAGTTTTTGGGAAAGGAAGCAAAATAGTGATTGGGTCGACCCATTGATTGAAACACATGCTTTCAGTGGGAAAGAGGCTTTACATAGATGACTGTATGAAGTATGAAGCTTTTGCTTCACAGACTTAAGCAATAGTTGAACTCTGACTCGAGAGCAGCAGCTGCTCTGCTCTCTAACTGCAGATTTGTTAACATCACTGATTGGCTTAATTCATCACAGCAGCTGGTGACTTTTATGACTTTGTACATTTATTACATTTTCATAATCATAATCTGATTTTTTAAAAATGATTCTTCAACATTATTTGACGGAACAAGCAGTGGCAATACTGAGTATTTATAGTTTCAGCATCGGACTCAGAGAAGTCCAGAAGTGTTATACTGAAAACAAAAACACAGGAAACGTGAGTCATGAAGTCCTCGCTTGAAGTCGAGCTGCTTATCAAACAAGAAACCAGAGTGAATAAATGAGAGAGCAGAGCAAACAGCAGAGGCTGCAGACACACTCTGTTATTTGAATTTACGAAAAGAATTTTAAGGAAATTGTTACCAAAGGTTCGCCTCATGCTGAGGAACAATTAATTACAAGTTGGTAATGATCCAGATTATGAGTGAATTTTAGCTATAGGGTAAAGTCACAATATGGGACAAAATTTGCTGCTTTGTGTTCTGTGCTCTACGAGCGCTTTTCTTACTTTTTTGTGTCTTTTTTTTCTTTTCAAAACATTTTTTTGTTGGTCTTCTGTAGTATTCAAATGTTCAGATTTAACCATTTTTTTTATTAGCTATAAGCCATAATTATTAAATTATACAGAAATGAGCTGTTGAAATGTACCCCTCTTGAATTTTCCAAGATGTTCCTGTATTTGTTTTTATGTTTATCTGAAGAATTGCAGTTTTTGTCACTATAAACTTGACAGCCTAAATAGATTCTAGAGGGTAAAACGTTTTTTTTTTTTTTTTTTACGTCAGTAGTAACGTCACACATCTGAGCATTTGTAATTGAAAGTTGGAGCAGATATATTTACATTTTTCTCTTCTCTCCTCCTGCACAGTTCAGGCCTTAGCTACGAAGAATCCAAAGAGCTGATAAAGCCTGAAGTGAAAAAGGAGCCCGTCAGACGCCGGTCTCCTGTTTGTCAGACGAAGCCGTCTGCTCAGGCTGTGGAGGACAAAAAGAGCATGAGGGACTGCATCAAGACTGATGCTACAGATAAAGACAAGAAACCAACTGAGAAATCACTGGAACCTTCAAAGGAGCTCCCCAAACTTAAAGAGTCCACTCCTACCACAGAGCCCATGAAGACACGGCGGTCCCTTTATGCAGAGGATCGAAAGTCGACCACGGTTCAACAGGCTGCAATGACGACGGCCATAAAAACACCAGAAGCTGAGAGTCCAACTGAACCAAGTGCAGCAAGTACGCTTAGTGAAGAGCAGCACCAAGAGGAAAAGGAAGAGAAGAAAGCCGAGCTCCCTGAGAAACCTGTGGAGAAAAGCCCCCCACTCAAAGCTACTTCACATGTAAAGGATGATCAGCCTGTTACTGTGGATAAACCAGCCGTGGATGACCAAGAGGCGTCCTCAGAGCCCGGCTCAGACGCCCTGAAGAGAAAAACACTTTACGAGACAGAAGGAGAAGTGACACCCGAGAAAAGACCTCGTCTGTCTTCCGTTTCCTCCGTGTCCTCAGTCTCCTCTCCATCTCCATCAGGATCATCCATATCCAGCCCTGCCACGCCATCTCCAACAAGTCAGAGGGTCCCACCTCTCAAGGTGAGAATGAATCGTCTCCATTTAATTAATGTTTCTGATCCACCCTCATTTGTCACTTACTTCTCTATAGATGATGACAGACTCTATCCTTTTAATCTAACTGAACCTGAGCTGTAGAAGGATGCAGTTTAATCATTTACCAAGTATTTCATTATTACAAAAAACACGTGAAACATGAAATGTATTGTCTGTAGTAGCACTGTAGCTTGGGTTGTGGTGATATTCCCCAGAGGTTTTCTTCTCATTTAATTTACTTGAAGAGGTACGTTTTTTTTTTTTCAGCCTGGAAGACAAATGAAACATATCTCTCCTTTCACCCTCTTTCAGATCCCAGTGTCACGAATTCTTCCCAGCCCGGGCCGTACAGGACCTCGCACTTTGGCTGACTATAAAGCCAAAATGCTTGCCCATAAACAGAGAGCAGCCGCCGCCGCACTTTCATCTGCGTCAAAGGGGCCGGTGCCAGGCCCCGGGCCAGGGGGAGGTAGCAGTAGTGATCAGAGGCAGCCATCACCCAGCCTCAGCCCAACCTCCCCACAGGCACACACCAGGTTACCGGCCACCAGCAGTAGCAGCATCCCATCTGGTGTGCTTTCTCCTCCGCTCAGCTCAACTCAGTCACAGACGCCTCTCTCAAAAACAGCTGATGAGAGGCGCGGTAGCCATTTTGCCGGTACAGTCTTTACAGGGCCACCAAGCATCCAAAGGAGTTCAGATGCTTCAACAGAACATTCATCTTTTCTGGCTGTGAAGGATAAAGAAGCCCCACAAAGTACTGCATCCCTAACCAGAACTAGTTCTTGCATTCCTGCAAACAATCCCCTTGTGACTCAGTTGCTGCAAGGAAAAGAAGTCCCACTGGATCAGATCCTCCCTAAACCCCTATCCAAGGTGAGGGGGTCAAACCCGGCTTCTGAAAATAAGGGGAAAACTTCTCATTTTGCTGATCCTAGAGGAGATAGGCAGATTCCTCCACAAACCAATCCATCTGGGCGAGGCCTATTGGAATACACCAAACACCACAGGGAGCTTCCTGATAAGGAGACCCAAGAGCAGATCCTGCAGACTCTAATGCAGAGGAAAGCTCAACAACAGACCCAGCCCTCTGGAGGTGCAGCGCCAAAGCCCACCCAGCATAAATTCCAGCATATGATGCACGCAGAGGAGTGTCGGGGTCAGTCCAGGGTTTTGGTTGGCTTTCTGGGCCAAAGGAAGATTCCCAGGCCTGCCATGACCGGGCATTACCTGCTCAATGTGTCCACATATGGCAGAGGATCAGAGAGCAAGAAACTGCAGCTTTCAGTCTGTCCCAAGAACTCTGTGTCTGGTTTAAAAAGGGAGAACGCAGAAAGAAAGGAGACGGGTAAAAACGAGGAACCCGTCAAAGATTTCACGTCCATTATTAGGGTAAAAACTGAGCAGCAGGGATGTTCAGTTACCAGGTCCAACGACGCAACACGGCTTCAGCATTGCTCCAGCGTCAAAACCGAGCCTGGATCCGAAAACAATGGAGCTGGTGGCGACAACAGCAAAGCCAAAGACACCAGCCCTTTTTCTCCGTCACACCGAAGTCACCTCGAACTCTGCAATAGCAATCAAGGAAACTCTGAGCCATATCTTACTCCCATGGACCCAAGTCACCAGCCGCCGACTGCCTTCCAGAGAACGCTTGACAATCAGGATTCAGCTGTAGCCTCCGGCTACGGCGGCACTATCAGCATGTCTGTACCTCACACTCTGAACCACAACACTGCGGGCTCGTCCACGTCCTCATCGGAGGTGGACGGCGGGGGAATCTGTGGGAGTGTCATGTCATTCTCAGTGACTGTCACCACGATACCCGCCGGTCACACGTTAGACCACGGCAATCAGGCTGAGCCCTCACAGGAGCAGTCATTTATCCAGGGCTCCAACATGGAGGACGTCCAGTCTAAATGCTACTGCCGACTGAAGGCAATGATCATGTGCAAAGGTTGTGGAGCCTTCTGCCATGATGACTGCATTGGCCCTTCTAAGCTGTGTGTGTCATGTTTAGTGGTACAGTAATATGAACTTAACAATAACAAAGTAATGTAATGGTTTCATTAGGCATGGGCCGGTATGAACAACAGGACCCTTTTCAGATGGGATCAACCATTAAATGGCTGTTATTAGCCTTCATTGCTCCCATGGAACGACCTCTGGCTGCACCTCCTCTACTAGGCCTGAAACTATTTTAACGGATTAATCGAGTATTGAAAGAATCGGCAACTAATTTAGTAATCAATCGTTAAATGGCGTATAAAGACTGTAAAACATGTCTTTAGCTGACAGAAAACTACTCAGAGCAGTAATTGTATCAAATTTTATAAAAATATGTAAAACATTTTGCAGTTAGGATAGAAAAAAAAACATTTTTAACACAGTTAACGATTTTATTTCAATAATCATTAATCACGATTAATCTGATTCATTGTTTCAGCCCTACTTTAGACCTCTAATATTGGCTCATTTCAATTCTTTTTTAAATATAATTTGGTCTCCATAAAAGTATGCCCTAACATCTGCATCTTATCCACTTTAACGTCCCTTTAAGGGGGACAACACACATTAGACTGACCAGAACCCGAGCTGTTGCACTGAGGTGCAACCAAACAACAGATCGCCTACCTTTAGCCTCCGTTATATTTACCCCAAACGCTTTAACATTTTAAATGAAACTTTACTGAGTGCCGTGTCATTGATTGGTGGAAAGATGCTTTTGTTGGTTATAACAAGAGTATTGTTGAAACATTTTATTTGGCCAAAAACGGAATTGTTTCCCTAACCTAAGGAGCCAGAGGGCATGAAAATAATATTTAAAATTTTACAGCCAAGAATGTCTGCTTTATTTCTATGAGAAAAGCATTTTTTAAGAGGAAAAAATAAAATACTGCCTTAATATGTGGTCCAGGGATACTCTGATCACTCCAGCAATTTATCTGATATCTCATCACCCTGGGAACATTTTAACCAGTAATACAGATTAATAACTTTTGGTTTACCGTGATACCGGCTACCGGCCCATGCCTAAATCTTTTATGTTGTTGAGGCACAAAAAATGGCATCTGATTATTTAGAGTTTAGTACAAAATATGGTGGTAATTATGATAAAATCTGCAACAGCCACAGTTTGATCACTGTTGAAAGAGCAAAACTTGACACTGGATGCTCTGGTTTTTTCTTCCACATCTGTTTGTGGAGATGCCAATCGATTTTCAGTGAGTTTAGTCTGTCAGATATGTGGGAAACCTCACATTCAACAATGTTTGCACTCGGCTAGATTAGTTTATATTTTTATAAAACACATGTATAGTTTTTAAAAGGAGAGAAAACAAATGTTGCTATTTTTAGGACTTCATGACTGTTCTGTGTTGAGACTGAACTGTTTTTTTTTTATTGATGGGTTAATTGGGGTTAATGGGAAGAAAAGGGCACCAGAGAAAATCATGGTTTTTACAGAACCTCCTCCTTGCACTGCAAAAATGATCTGAAATTAAGTAAAAATGTCTTAAATCAAGTGTATTTACCCTTAATTTGAGCAGGCAAATAAGATAGTTTGCCAATGGATTGAGTATTTTTACACTTAAAATAAGTCAATTAGATAATATGCACTTGAAATAAGACAATGCAATTGATTTTTCTTATTTCAAATGTAAATTGTCTTGTTCCATTGGCAAAGTGTCTCATTTACCTCCCCAATTCAGGATAAAACACTGCAAAAATGATCTAGAAATAAGTAAAAAGTTCTTAAATTAAGTGTATTTACCCTTAATTTGAGTAGGTGAATTAGATAGTTTGCCAATGGAATGAGTATTTTTACTCTTAAAATAAGATAATTACATAATATGCACTTGAAATAAGACAATGCAATTGTTTTTTTTTTATTATTTTAAGTGTAAATTGTCTTGTTCCATTGGCAAGATGTTTCTTTTACCTCCTCAATTCAAGAACAAATACACTTATTTTAAGAAAAAATGACTTATATAGATTTAGATTTTTTGCAGTGAATGCATTTATTTTAAGAAAGAAATTACTTATTTAGATTTACATTTTTTCAGTGAGAATCCATGCATGTTTGGAAGGAAAGTTATATTTCTTTGTAAAGAAAAAAGGTACATTTTAATAGAGCACACTGATATTTTTAAAACTTTTATTAAAAATCTGTCCATTTGGATTGCACATAATGGCATCAAGCCAAGGCACCTAAAAGTTGTAACTCAGAATGGCACTTAAAATCAAACAATTTAACTAAAAGTCCTTTTTTTATTTTCCAATATCACAGAAAAGTCTTATGTCAACTACTACTGTTTAAAGCCACGTTTTCTCTCCCTAAAACTGTTTTTTTTTTTTTAAGTGTCCCATAAATTGGGATTTTCTATCCTGATACATTTGTATAAATCGGTGAGCTGTGGCTGAAAATGAAAAGAAAAACACTCAAGATAAAGGGAGAAAACAAAGACGTTTATTTCAGTGTAAATATTAGATGTAGGTAATTATTAATCTATTTGTGCAGCACACCTTGTTAAAGTAAATCCAACTATTTTGATAGATATTAGAATTTGACAATGGAAAGCAAAATCAAGTGATTGTAGATTTTTTTTTTAAATCTGGGGGTACATCAAGTCAGACATTTATAAATAAATTTCAGAAAATGACTACGGAAATTTTCCATTTTAAGGCGGTATGAGGGAATGTAAGCCTAATTATCACCTTTTTCATGTATAATAATTTACATTTTAGTGAAGACACAATGTAAGCGCTTACATTACCCCATATTAACTTGCAAAATCGTCAGTGCGAAGTTAACTCTGACCTTTATTTCTAGGAGAGAAAAAAATGTAAAATATTTTATAACCTTTAGGATGGGGGAAATTTTCCATTTTTATAGCCGTTATTTACAAGGTAAAAAGCCAAAGCCACCTTAATAAATAAGAATAAGAAGTTGTTTATAATCTCAAACTTGTTAATCAAAGTAATATATTTTAATTAATATATTTTAATATAAAAAAATTATTTGCTATTTTTTTTTTTTGGGACAAATCAACAGGGTATTTACTATAGTAATATATTGGCTGTCCGTTTTTCCTATCATTTTGTGTAGACAGGACAGACCACTAATGATTTTTTTTATATTAAATGGCCCAGGTATATCGAAAATTGTGTGAAGCAACCTTTTTCAGTCAATCCATTTGTCTAAATTGTTCTGAAAAGATGCAGATGTGCATCCTTTGTCTACAATTGTCATTACTTTTTTTTTTTCACAAACTAGAGTGATCTAAAATTTTAATTTAATCAATTTTAGCCATTTTTTTTGTGTTTTTTTCACCTTGGTGGTCATTTCTGGTAAGTTTGGGTCAGCATAGTTGGAGAATAAAATGTTTTAGTTAGTTATTCTTTAATATATTCTGGAATATGCCGTTTTTTCCGGCTGAACAGAATCAGGCTGCATCTAAAGTTGAATATAGCGACTGGAACGCACTTCAGGAAAGGCAGCTGAAATTCCTGTTAACAAAGACTGAAACCTGCAATAGACGGTAATCTTTATTATTACTAAACTTGCCTATTTGTGTACATTAAGATGAGTGGTTAATCGATAAATTACTGGGTTGAGGTTAATGGGTGAAATCAGCGTTTTTTTTCGAATGTCACATTTGTCACTAGTTTCATTTGTTACACGTGTCTGTTTCATTCTGTGTCCAGTAAAACTCCAGTGAATGTAACATGGTAATCTGCACTTGTAAGCAAAATGTATTTTAAAGTTATAATCTATTATAAATAAATAATTATAATATGTACTTTTCTTTTTGTTTCACTTTTGAAAAGTTTTGTGATAATGATGGAATTTAAACGCTGAAGTTGAAAGGGATTTTCTGGATGCATTAAGGTGTAAAACTGAACATGAGTTTTTGCTTTTTGAAAATCCTTGGAAATTTTTGAATGTCCTTTTTTTTTATTTAGCCATATTGGCTAATTTTGCCCTCAATGGAAAAATATGTGAGTTTAGTGAAAGCAACCCATTTAAACACTGAAAAGTATGAAAACTATAAGAGAGGAAATCTGGTTATTTAGGCAGCTTTTTCCACATTTGGAGTGTCAAAAGAAAAGCCCTGATCTTTAAGATTCTCCCTAGATTTTGGATCAAGCCACAGATGCTGTTCAGCTGCTTAGAGAAACATAATACTGAAATGAGTCAGAGAAGGGGCAAAGCCGTTAACGCATTTCAGAACCAAGAGAATCCTTTTAAAAATCTATTATTTGGCAGGTAAACAGCCAGAGAAGAGAAGAGAGCATAGCTGATATGAACAGTATAAAAGACCTGAAGAAGCAGTTTCTAAACGAAAGACCCTTAGCAAAGTAAATTGTTATTTATCATAAACACTTTATCTTAGGTAATAATCATGCACTGCATGATTTAAATCTAAAGTATTTTTTTTTTTTAATAAGTGCATTTTTCGTTGAATTGATGAGGTAAGTGAGACACTTTGCCATTTGAAATAAGAAAAAACTATTGCGTTGTCTTATTTCAAGTGCATATTATCTAATTATCTTGTTTTAACTGTAAAAATACTCATTCCATTGGCAAACTATCTTATTTACCTGCTCAAATTAAGGATAAATACACTTGATATAAGAAATTTCTACTTATTTTCAGATAGTTTTTGCAGTTTGACTTTTTTGAATTTGGCAATTGGATTAAATAAAACAGATTTCTGCGAAACACTAACCTACCCTTATGAGCTCAAACTTAAATTTAGGCTTACATTAAGATTTGCAGCCTGTTTCAAACATGGCCTTAGATCACCAAGGTTTGAATGACCTTATATGTTAGTGTTAGACATGAGAGAAATAACCTCTTTTTTCCCTATTTAAGCTAAGGAAATTCATGGCCATCCACACATTTAAAGTCCCCTTAAATGAGGCTAAATGGAGACTAGGCAGTTTATCTTTACTGTGGGCAGCTCCTACATTTAACTTTGAGATCAGACCAGTTTTTGGGGGAAATTTTTAGGGGAAAAGCAGATCGCAAAAATTTCAGTATAGAAATAGTTTTAGTTGTCAGGACCCATGAAGCCACTTGGTGGGATCACAGCTAAAAATGCTGTAGAATTTTGTGGCGTTTTCTCCAGTAAAGAGCTTATGAAAATACTATATTTTTTTCTTTTAATAGGTACAAGTGAGTAAGATATGTGCACATTTCCAAATGACACTCTACCACAATCGCTTTTCCATACATTTTAAATTAATTTCAAGGTTCTCAATTGTTTTGTTTGTATTTTAAGATAACGTT